GAATCAATTTATTTCCCAGACGAAGGGAAGGCAGTACTAGATTTTATGCGTATATTACTGGAACGCGCAAGTTGACCCCAACACCCTGGGCTGTCCGTGCTATCACAAATCTCTCTCGACGCATCCGCCGAATCCAGGAAAACAGTCGCCTTTCTATTTGCCAGGACCACAATAACGTCCCTCGTCATCGCTTGAAGTCACAAGCCCTTTTTTGGACCCATGCACTTAACCTCTAAAGATGCGAGTTTAACCCCGATGAAGTTTGGAGAGCTAAATGGAGTTCAAAATAACTCACAAACACCTTGTTGTGAAAAAATCCCTGAAGTCACGTAGGTAAAAAAATGTATAATAATTATAAAATAATAATAAATGAAAATAACAGTAAATTTAGCTGTGACGGTCCCACCTGAAGACGGAGACTTGTGTTGCCTCCGAAACGTCGTGATTTAATTGAGTTATTTTCATTTATTATTATTTTATTTTATTATTATTATTTTTCCTTCATGACTTTACCGAAAAAACGTAAGAGTATGAATCCTTGCAGTCACGAAAGCTTCAAATCTAGAAGAAAATCCCTGGTTTTGATCTTCTACAAAGCTCATGGTCCACCCTAAATGGCATCCATACAAACCAAGGCCGATGCGGATGCCTGATGCACAAATGGAAAATTAAAAACTCTCCAGTGTGCGACTGCGGTCATCCAGAACAAACCGTACGTGTGGTGACGCGATGCCCGATCCACGAGTACGCAGGAGACATCGCCGCGATACACTCCGCCGCTCCTGACGAGGTTATCCGGCTCGACCACTTGGATGCGAAACTGTTGCTCGGCATCTACGTCAGCCAATTGGAGAGGAGGAGGAGCGTGTATATCAAAACTGATCCGTCAAACATTTGGCAACAAAAATGGCTCATTACACAGCTACATTAAGTTTACAATATGTAATTAAACACACAATCATGACCTTGTAATACAAAAAAAAGATCTCCCATTTAGACTGTTAGGCAAGTGCTATTAACACGCATGAATGATGGGCCGCACGGCACATGAGGGGATAGGTGGACAACACTTTGTATGGCCGCCTTTGTCTCCCCAGTGCCGATATTGCCACACCACACAAGGCACTCAATTACAGCTGAGTTGATCTCAGGAGAGGCCCAGGACCGGTTCAGATAATCGTCACTGGTGTTGGCCGTGAGCATCGAACTGGTGTCGCTAGGTTTGTAGAACATCGAGTTAACCACTGCAACTCCGCTCCCCCTCATCTTGTAATAGCGCACACACTAAAACACCTCAACTGGGCATTAAGACGCACCCAATGCAAGTTTTCCAAATCTGCTCACCCAACAACAGCTGTCATTCACCACTACGTGGCAGTATTGTCACCACAGCACTTGTGCAAGGCTCGGTGCACTTTGAAGCCACGCGAAGTGCCGAAGGCCCACTGACAGGTCACAGAACAGACCCAGGTGTTGTGGGTTAACTGACTGAGATGACTGGCAGATGCACCACCCGTGCTCCACACTGTGCCAACTCGCTGAGTTTTAGCCACCTGAAGAGCCTCTCATTGTTGTGAGTGTTGCTTCTCTGCCCTCCACTGTTGTTTGAGGGCGAATGCCTCCAACTGCCCAGTCGGATCCTTCACGAGCCTCCTCCCCACACACACACTCACCTACTGGAGCACAACAAACACCCATTCATGGAGTTGGTCAAACATCCTACTCTCGGACCATAGAGCTTCGTAAATTGTTGGTGCCGGTTCTGCCTGCCCTTCTAGTGTGCCTGTGGTTTCCTACACCTCCGAATCATTCTATTTTTAGTGAGATGAAAACCAAACGCATGACACACAATTCAATATTCAATTAGAAGATGCACCCCCAACTTGTCTGTTTAAAAGCACAGGGGAAGAAAAGCACGTCTAATAATCCAGAGAATAGGGTGGGCACTTTGACGGAGTGGAAATCTTTAAATTCACCCCAAATGAAACTGTGATTAATTCAACAAGGAAATAAAATGACATGGCATGGTAAAGTGTCTTGGTGCATCTGATAATCTGCTGAAATCCTCAAAGCCAGTTGCATTACTTGCTGCTGCAGGTCTATGGGTCTCTATGTGAGTGATAAAGGTCACTTTTGCATGAAATTACAATAATTAATCTGAAAACGAAGATCGTTTAATCATGTGATGACAGATTAATATTCCACGATGGCTGAGATTTTTTGTTGCAGCCATGAGGCTAAGAGTTCATAACGGCCATGTCAGTGATCCGGAGCCAACGGCGCTGAGATCCTGGGTTCAAGCTCTGGGTGTCTCTCTCAGAAGGTCCAAAATGGTTGGGTCAGAGACACTGAGCCAACAATACTGAGATCCTGCGTTACAAGGCCTGGGTCTGGGTGTTTCTCTCTCAGAAGGTTCATAATGGCTGGGTCAAAGAATCAGAGCAAACTCTGCTGAGCTCCTGGGTTCGATCTGTGGGTTTTCGTGTCTCTCAGGGGCTTATAAAGGCAGGGTCAGAGGCTACAACGGGCCTTGCGAGAGATTGAGAACTGAGCTGCATGTACAGCTGAATAGGCCTGACTCAGCTTATAAACTTCTGACCTCCGACTTATCGTATAGCAAGAGGGACGCCGCAGCAGCTGACGGAGTCAGTGTGTTTGTCAGTGCTGGATTATACTAGGAGCTAAATGTTTTCAAGCTATCAATTCCGGTTCCACTTGCTCTATTACTATAGTATTATACTGCCTTCAACTTTTATGAACGATTGGGTGTTTAAGGTTAGCGATTTGTCATTATCTGGCTGTATAGAAAATTAAAAAATACAATTACTTTACTCTGCAAGTTGTTGTGAGCGTCGCTCCTCCGCCCTCTGTTGTTGTTGGAGGGCGACTGCCTCCAACTGCCCAGTAGCAGCAGTAGCATCCAGCACGAGCCTGCTCCTCCACAGAGGCCGCTCCACATCCTCCTGTACCACATCACTCCATCTCTTCTCTAGCCCGTGCCGTGCCCGTTTAGCCCCCTCGATCCGGTCGAACAAAAGCTGTTCCGAGTCTATGGGTCTGAACGCGTTTCCATGCAAGTGTAGGGCCGTTCGCGTACGTCGATGGGTCTCTATGCGAGTCTGGGCCTACACGTGAGTCTGTGGGTCATCTGCACGAGTCTATGGGTCTCTGTGTGAGTCTGTGGGTCATCTGCACGAGTCTATGGGTCTCTGTGTGAGTCTATGGGTCTCTGTGTGAGTTTGTGGGTCTCTGTGTGAGTCTGGGTCTCGAGGCTGTGTGTGGGTCTCGATAGGAGTCTGTGGGTTTGTATAGACGTGTCCCGGTAGTATTTCCCTGGTTATCAAGGTAGAGACCAATAACCCGCCACACTTGAGAACCCAGATTAACCACCACGGTCGAGTCCATTCCTGAATTGGAACCCAGAATCTAAGCGGAGTTCAACACAGCAGTAGTGGGGGGGGGGGGGAGCATTTCGTCTACCAGTGGGGGGCTGCCGGTCTCTGCCAGTCCATGAGTCTCTGTGCTAGTTTATGGATCTCTGTGCTAATTTAGTTGTCTCTGTGCTAGTTTATGGATCTCTGTGCTAATGTAGTTGTCTCTGTGCTAATTTATGAATCTCTGCGCTCGTGTTTATGAGTCTCTGTGCGAGTCAATGAACGTGCGGGTGGGTGAATGAGAGACGCGATTGCAGCGGCCACCTCTGTACAGCACCACGCTTCGCGTGGCGGGGTAAAGAGTGGTGGTGGGTGCCCTCTCACCCTCTCCCAGGCTGGGCACTTGCCGGCGTGGAAGAGTAGGCCGAGAAATAAAATCACTTCGAGAGATGTTGTCCAGCGCCTGCTCTCCTCGTGCCCGTCTTCCAGCAGTGGCGAGAACGAGCAATTGCAGGGCTACACCTGAACCTCGACACTGGCGATGTTTGTACACGTTCCGTCAGCCACGCGGTCTGCGTCGACCCAGAGCGAGGCCAATGGCCGCTCCCGTTACCCTCACCGACGGCGGCCATGACACCGGAAAAGAACTTGGCCCGCCTGTGACGTCACTCCGCACCTGCGTCACGTGCGCTGCACCAGGCCACGTGTTCTAAACGAGGGTCCTGTGTAAAGACGACCCCCCCCCCGCCATAGCAATGTGGAATTTCCACCACAGGCTCTGCAGGGTTGTAAACAGGCATCGAACCCAGGATGCCCTCGATGTGGCTCGTTCGAGCAGGAACTTTGTGGGTGCCGCTGCACGCGTGGCCTCCCTTAGGTCGACTCAACCTTAAAACGGCTGCACGGAGTGGACATTCAGTGCCAGGCTCACTACCAGTGGCTACTTGGTCTGGGTCAGTGCCAGTGGCTACTTGGTCAGGGTCAGTGCCAGGCTCAGTACCAGTGGCTACTTGGTCAGGGTCAGTGCCAGTGGCTACTTGGTCAGGGTCAGTGCCAGGCTCAGTACCAGTGGCTACTTGGTCAGGGTCAGTACCAGTGGCTACTTGGCCAGGGTCAGAGCCAGGCTCACTACCAGTGGCTACTTGGTCAGTGGCCGGGTGGCTTTGTGTGCTAACCCCCCCCCCCCCCCCAGGCTGCTGCCTACTGCTATGAGTGACAGCGTTAGACGTCAGCTGCTTGGTTGCGTCTGACTTTCACCGTTGGCCACTGCACCCCGATACAGCAGAGATGCACGTTCACATGGCTCCTCCCAGTTTTGGGTACGGGCAGGTTAGGCTTGATCACAAACGGCCGTCGCAACATTTGCCATTCAAATAGCACAGCTTTATTCCCAGGCTAGAGGCAGTTCAATAAAACAAGAGATAATTCTATATTGAATCCCCTCCCACCACCGCCTCGATCCGCCTGGCAGGGTAGCGCCAGTCAGGCGGCAGGTCGCGTGGGGTGGCGCAAAGTGTGGGTACCTCCCCCACTTCAAAGACGTTTAGACAGCGTGGAAGAATAGGCCAAGCTCCCTCGAGTGGAGGCACCTCCGCCAGCAGTGATGTGAACAGACAACTGCAGGGCTGCACCTTTGCATTTTTATTCAAATGTATGTGCCGTATGTTGGACATCCCCCCCACATAACCGGAAAGCCTCGTCTCCGAATCCGGCATCGAGTGTTTCTGTTGTTGTGGTAAAGCTGTAGATGGGGAAATGGGCAAAGCTCGCCACCCAGCGGCTGTTTCTGGAATCGCTTTAACCCCACCACTGTAATGGATAAACGCGTTTATTCGACAGCCTCGGACTTGATAACCGATGGCAATTCTACGGGGATTTTACACAACTCGAGAAAGGTGCCTGCGCAAGTGGGGCTCGGGATAAATAAGGGCGAAACAGAAGTCACGTGTCAGAAGTTTGCTCAACAATTGGAGGCGTTTTATCGGAGGGGCAACGACTGTTAATTTCAGCGTCACGTTGTGAACGCAGTGTGGTTACTGGAGATGGACTGCGTCCGTAACTGCACCTTACAAACTCCTAAATTATAGAAAGAAAAAAAAAGATGGTAGCACTTTCGCCGGGTCAGGGGTCTCGGCCGGGCGCGAGGAGGAGCGCGTCAGGCGGAGCTGCTGGCGGTGACGAAGGAGCCGCTGTGCGCTTCGCTGTCCTGCGCCTGCTGCGCCTGCTGTGCCTGCTGCTGCGGATGCTGCTGCACGGGTCCCGGGCAGGTGAGGGCGGAGAGACGGGTGGCCGACAGCCCCGGGCAGAGGCCGGCGCACACGACGAGCAGCCGCACCACGCGGCGAGCGGCCGCGAGCACCCCTCTCTCCGTCTACACGCACGCACAGGCAAAGGTCTCCCGTGTAGCCTTCACAGAGCCTTGGGCCAAGTGCGAAAGCCGCCACGGCACACGGAGAGGTGGGTGGCCGGCACCACGCCAGGTCGCCTTTGTCTCCTCGGTGGCAGTGTTTACATACCGCACCCGGTACTCAATTGAGGCTGGGTCGACCTAGGGGAGGCCCACGTTCAAATAACCATCACTGGTGTTGGCCGTGAGCGGGAATCAAACTCGGGTCACCGGGTTACGTAGCGCAGCGCGTTAACCGCTATGCTACCACTCCCCACAATACACAGGCACAAACACACACAATAGACGCATGCAGACAATACAAAGACACACACGAGAGGCATGCAGGTGTAATGCACAGGGAGTGCCTCGTGTGTGCGTGGCGTCACCACCTGCAGGTTGATGTGCAGGAGGCCCGAGTGATGCGCTTCCGCCAGCTTCTGCACCACGTCCAAACCTACCGCCAGCTCGCTCGCCGGCCTGTCTGTCAACAACACCAACCACCATTCAACGTCACCGCCGCCGCCACCACACGGCAAACCCACTCACCACCACTCACACGGCGTAACATTTCACCGGCACCACAGCCTGTCAACAACAACAACCACTCACAGGCGGCAAAACACGGTAAGAGTTCCTGCGTGGGGTGAGTTCACCTGCACGGCGGGTCCGGTACATGAGCAGAACTCTCGAGCGGTTGGGCAGCGCCGAGTTTCCTTGCGGTTTTTGGGCGGCGTTTCGGCGTGTGCCCCGTGCCGTGGAGGAGATACGGTTGAGGGTTCAGTGAAGGAGGAGTCGAGCAAGAGGATGGGTCTGGTTGTAATCACCAGCGAAACGTCACGGTACTCAAATTGTAAATGTTGTGGGTTTACTCTGCTTCGACACACCGGTGTGCTGCAGTAGTAACTAATTGGCACATTTGTCTTACTTGAAATACCTTACTAATTGGCTGTGTCGGGCGGTGGTAGGTTAACGACACATTTTTGTTTACACGCGCCAACCCAAAAAAAAACAACCTTTATTATGTGTAGTGACAGAACGGTCACTACTGTGTTGGCCCGTACGAGGGCTGGGGGCCCCAAGGGGGTGCCTGGGGGGTCACGTGCTGGAGGGATCCGGACCTTCCCAGAGGTGGGGGAAGTGAGGCGTGGCCTGGGAAGTGAGGCGTGGCCTGGGAAGGGAGGCGTGGCCTGGGCGGAGTCCGGCCACGCCAGAGAGACGAGATATAAGGGTGGTGTGAAGGCAGAGCAGGGCTGTTCCTGAGAAGAATGAAGACACCTCGTGAAGATGCCAGAAGAGAAGACCTACAGTGAGCGGACTGCCAGCAGCCACCTGGCTGGGTCACGCTGTTGTGTGTTAGCTAGTGTAGGTCGGTGGTCACCACCCTATGTGTAGAGTAAGAGTAACTGTTGAGTAAACGTTGTGTTAATTAATAAATGAGTGTTGCCTCCCAAGAAGTGTGTGCGCCTAAATTGAACCCATTACATTTGGTGTCAGAAGTTGTGGAAAAATAAATATTGCTAGGGAAGTAAAATGGGCACACGAAAAACAAATACAAAACTCATCTGGACGTCTTCGTACGACGGGGATGGTGTGACGACCGTCCTTCGGACAGCCCCGGGGATGGCAGCCCCGGTGACAGAGAGAGAGAGAGATGGCGCTGCACGCGGAGCGGCGGGACTTGCATCACACTGCTGTTTCGCCGCCATCGGGAACGGAGCGACGGAGCCGCGGCGAGAGGACACCATCGTCGCTGCGGGGGAGGCCCGGGCATGCGGGCCACGCGGTGGGCCCGCCATTTCGGCGGCTGGTCGGGGCGCTGTTCCCGCCAAAACGCCGTTCCCGCCATTTCGGCGGCTGGTCGGTGCGCTGTTCCCGCCAAAACGCCGCTCCTGCTGCCGAAATGCCGCTCCCACCGACATCAACGCCTGCAGAGGGGGAGTTCCAGCCTTCTGCTCGAGCGCGTCTTGTGGATGGGGGTTCGCAAAAGCAGGCCATATTCACCATGCAAGATTCTTCGGGCCGTCCCAGTGCTCCACCTTGCCGCCCTCCGATATTCACAGTTTGCCAGGCGAGTCGTGACATGACACGAGAAAAATAATAACTTCACCGATCTTGCGTGTGCCGGGTTGCGATCGTGTGTTTTTTTTACTCGCTGGGTTGCGGAGCGTGTTCGTCCGGTTGTGTGCGTGAGAAATTGACGCGGCGACCAGTGTTTGTTGTTAATTACGGCGTCGAGATCGGTATCTTCTGGGTGTAGTTAATGATTAATTCGTTGTTGGTGTCCCGAGCTCCGTTGATATCCTGTATGTTGCCGTGTTAATGACTCGTGTTGTTACATCGTTGTGTTGCGAAATCGCCATTGTTATTGTGTATACTGTATGGAGTTTCGCTCGTGATTGTCACTTGTAACTGTCAGAAACTTTGATCGTCATTGTTGCCAATGTACAGACCGTATGGAGCTTTGCTTGAAATTCTTAACAGTGTATGGAATGTTGGGTACTTGCTTGTGATTATTTACTAGGTACGGATTGTCTGGAGTATTGATTGTGTGTGTTGCCATGTGGGGACTGGATGGAGCATTGTGCCAAATGATTGACTGTACGAACTTCGTATACTGCATATACTGTATTAATCAATCCGGCGATTCTTGGGGTTTGTGTATAGTTTTTTTGCTCTCAAAATTCGATTGCCCTGAGTCCCATGGTAAATGTTGAAGGGGATTTTGAAATGACAGGTTCGGTTTGTTTCAAACTCACTGGTTGGTTCCTGTCCGTTGTTGCACAGATGATATCTTTTGTGCGGGAATGCTCCTTGTGTTCTACATAGATCAGGGGTGCGTTTCCGTTAATTGCCGTCAAATTGCGTTGCTCTCTCCACTCGGTTGGTACAGCTGCATTGCTGCAATGCGAGTCTCGGAGATGATGTGTACGGATACGGGATGTGAGGTGTATTGTTGTGACCATTGAATATTCGGGATCGTCAAAGAAAAATATTGTGCGTACCTGTTCGGCATTGGATCAGTTATGTGGGGGATCATAATTCAAATTGTATGTGTTGTGATGGTGTTAAATTGCGATGGTGACATGCTGCCAGGGATTTGGAATTGTGCTGCTGGCTGTCACCTATCTTGGGGCGCAGGTCCTGACCAGGATGGCCCAGTGAGTGTTGCGTGTCTAACATGAACGTTGTGGTCCCGTCATGCTATGGCTGACGGCTTGACCTGACAGCCCGGAGATTGAAACACTCCGTGGCATGTCTAGCCTAGTGGGCTGTGCGCTCACATGGCTCGGAGAGTGTGGTCCCGTCATGCTATGGCTGACGGCTTGACCTGACAGCCCGGAGCTTGAAACACTTCGTGGTATGTCTAGCCTAGTGGGCTGTGCGCTCACATGGCTCGGAGAGTGTGGTCCCGTCATGCTGTGCCTGACGGCTTGACCTGACAGCCCGGAGATTGAAACACTCCGTGGCATGTCTAGCCTAGTGGGCTGTGCGCTCACATGGCTCGGAGAGTGTGGTCCCGTCATGCAATGGCTGACGGCTTGACCTGACAGCCCGAAGAGCGAAACACTCCGTGGTATGTCTAGCCTAGTGGGCTGTGTGCTCACATGGCTCGGAGTGTGTGGTCCCGTCATGCAATGGCTGACGGCTTGACCTGACAGCCCGGAGAGCGAGACACTCTGTGGCTTGTCTAGCCTTGTGGGCTGTGCGCTCACATGGCTCAGGGAGGGTGGTCCCGTCATGCTATGGCTGACAGCTTGACCTGACGGCTCGGAGGTTGAGACCCTCTGAGGCGCGTTGAAACAGTGGGCTGGAGATTTGTAAGGTTCGGGTGGAGTTGGCCTGTTACGTTGAGACTGTTTCCCTCAGTTGTTAGGGTGCATGTTGTGCAGTGAGTGAACGATGGGTCGTCTCAGCTCGGTCGGTACAGCTATATGCTGCGATGCGAGTCTGGGAGAGAGACTGGGTCATCTCAGCTCGGTCGGTACAGCTATATGCTGCGATGCGAGTCTTGGAGAGAGACTGGGTTAAAATCCCACCGATATGGCCGACGTGTGCTACTGGTTGTGACGCCGCGTCGGAAAGGCGGTGGGGGGGTAACATGGAAATCCCCCCCCCGATATGGCCGACGCGTGCTACTGGTTGTGACGCCACGTCGGAAAGGCGGTGGGGTGGTAACATGGAAATTCCCCCCCCGATATGGCCGACGCGTGCTACTGGTTGTGACGCCACGTCGGAAAGGCGGGGGGGTGCTAACGGGTGACTGTCATTGCATGCGTGATTCTAACGGTGGGGGGGCTGTGCTGTAGCGTAAGTGGGTTAGCCAGTTTTCATGTATATTTGTTGTTAATTCCCCGTTTTCTATGCGGTTCCCTTTTACCCTCGTCGATTCTGTATATATTACGTGATTGTATTTCTTATCGGTCGCCGGTCATTTATTGATGTTGCTGGTTCGGAGGCACACCTTTTCGATGTTCACAGTTGTGTTACAGCCGGGGACGGCTGTGTGTTTATACAGGAGGGGGTGATGTAGTGACAGAACGGTCACTACTGTGTTGGCCCGTACGAGGGCTGGGGGCCCCAAGGAGGTGCCTGGGGGGTCACGTGCTGGAGGGATCCGGACCTTCCCAGAGGTGGGGGAAGTGAGGCGTGGCCTGGGAAGTGAGGCGTGGCCTGGGAAGGGAGGCGTGGCCTGGGCGGAGCCGGCCACGCCAGAGAGACGAGATATAAGGGTGGTGTGAAGGCAGAGCAGGGCTGTTCCTGAGAAGAATGAAGACACCTCGTGAAGATGCCAGAAGAGAAGACCTACAGTGAGCGGACTGCCAGCAGCCACCTGGCTGGGTCACGCTGTTGTGTGTTAGCTAGTGTAGGTCGGTGGTCACCACCCTATGTGTAGAGTAAGAGTAACTGTTGAGTAAACGTTGTGTTAATTAATAAATGAGTGTTGCCTCCCAAGAAGTGTGTGCGCCTAAATTGAACCCATTACATATGGATAACATTGGTCGCTCAAGCCTACGTGCTGCTAGGCTGGGCCTGTTCGCCGAGTTGGTTCAAACTCTCTTTACAAGCATCCTTAATTGTTTTCTAAATGCCGACTGAGTGGGGTTTACATTGTGTGGAGGACATACTGTGACATTAAAATTGGACATTGACAAGAACAACTTGATGTGGTTAAATTTTCACTTCAATTTAGATAAAATACAACTCTTTTCAGCCATTGCTTTGTAATGACCACGGCGTAGGATGTACTGTCAGCGGACTAAGTAATGTGGAGTGAGGTTAAATGTTTAGCACAATTAATATTTCAGAGTGAAGTAATTTAGGTTTCATGGCAGTAGGTGGCATGAAACTGCGAGAATCACTCGGCTTCCAAGCATCGACAGACATTTATTGGAACAAAAATGCACAGGTCGGGTTGTGGCCGAGATGCGGATGTCCGTATGTTGAACTTCTTTCGAGCCGTACATCAGTATATAGCCAACCGGAGGATCTAATGAAAGTGGGTCGGGTCAGGTCAGAGGTCAAAACATGAGACCCACTCTGCACCATAGGTCACCAACAACCACCACAACCAGCACCATGACCATCACTCACAGGCAGCACACGGAACCGACTGCCAACCACCACCACTCACACGGCCAACACCACTGTCACACAGCTGATGAGCACGGGTCCTCTACCTTTAGTGATGGCGAAGAACACGCGGCCGATGAAGAAAGAGGCGGAGAGCAGCCGTAGGGAATCCTCCACCACTCGCAGGCTGCGCACGCGCACACACACAGAGGCTTACAGCTACACACACACAGAGGCTTACAGCTACACACACACAGAGGCTTACAGCTACACACACACACAGAGGCTTACAGCTACATACACACACACACAGGCTTACAGCTACATACACACAACAACCGCCATTCGCCACTAAGTGGCGGTGACGTCACCACGACGCTTGTGCCAGGCCATGTGCACCTTGAGGCCACGAGAAGTGTCGAACACCCGCTGGCAGGTCACGGGGCAGACCCAGGTGCCATGGGTTGATTGACTGAGATGACTGTACTCTCTACTACATCGGGACAAAGATCCCCCCGTATGGCCTGACAAACTTGGAGTCAGTGCTGTTCGCGAGCATTTATGAAGGCCTCTGTCTTCCTGGTGGTGATTACACACCGCACCAGGTGTTCATTTGAGGCTGATTGGACCTAGGGGAGGCCCAGGACCGGTTTAGAAATTCCTCACCAATCTCGGGTCGCCAGGTTCGTAGTGCAGTGCACTAACCACTACACTATACTACCTACATAGGTCGATAAGATGACAAATATCCCCCTTATAGCCATAGCAGACTTTTGGGGCAAGTGCTGTTAGTGAGTAGCACCTATTAAGGCCAGCAAGGAATACGAGGGGGTGGGTGTCCAGTACCACGCCCGACCTCCATCGTCTCCCCAGTGGCGATGGTTACACACCACACCAGGTACTCATTAAAGGCTGATTTGACTGAGGGGAGGCCTAGGACCGGTTCAAATATTCTCTGTGATTATTGGCCGTGAGCAGGAATTGAACCCGGGTCGCCGGGTTCGTAACGTGGCACGCTAACCACTGTGCCCCCGCTTCCCACATATGTAGACACATACACTCAGACAAAGATACATACACTCAGACAAAGACACACACGGACGAAGACGCCGTCTGGCGTGCAAGCGAGGCAGTGGAAAGGAGGGTGCGTGCCTGTTGATGCTGGTGAGGTCAATGAGGAGGAGGATGAGGTCAATGCGGGGTCGCCGGTGCTCGTTGTGCCCAGGGAGGGGCAGCTTCGAGGCGATGTGCCTGCGATGACATCACACACAACGAAACACGCCATGGCGGCCAATCAAAAACCTTTTGTGCAGAGAATGCTGATTTATATTTATAGATATATCTATAGGCATACCACATTTATAGGTAAGTGATAGGTATACCGAATTCTTTCCGACATCCGCACTCTCTAACCCAGTAGTATTCCTATCCCACAGTATTCCTATCTCACAGCAAGGAGGGCCGGGGGTTTGATTCCTAACTCGAGCACTGTCCTACATGGAGTGTTTATGTTCTTCACCCGATACTCTCATGTTGACGGTGGGTGGGTTCACTCACACGTTGATGGAGAAGGGGGAGTTGATGCGGCACATCGCTTCGGCGAGGGCGCTCTGCCCGGGCCCCACGGCACCCACGAGCTGAGGTCAGTTCCACGCAGCACGCATCACGCAATGCACGCGGGTCAGTTACACGACAGGACACAACTCAACACAGAGCACATGGGTCAGTCAAAGAGTCCACACAGCACTCGCAAAGTACTGTCAAATTACAATAACCGCCGTTCGTCAGTAAGTGGCGCTTGTGCCAGGCTAGGTGCACTTCTGAGGCCACGTGAAGTGTCGAAGGCCCACTGGCAGGTCACGGAAGAAACCCAAGTGCCATGTGTTGACTGAGATGACTAGCAGATGCAGCAAATGTGCTGCCCACTGTGTCAAAAAGTAACACGCGACAGTCCACATACAATCACAGCCGACAGTGCACACAGTAACACGTAAACCGCACAGTACACACACACAGCCAACACTGAGACTCAACACAGGACACACAATAAACAGCACATTTACAACACAGTAACAACAAAGGCGGTGACACACGAAAAACACAGTACACACACACAGTACAAAGATCCCCCGTATAACCTTTACAGGACTGTTGGGACAAGTGCTGGAAAAGCACACGAGGGGGTGGGTGGCCAGCACCACACCCGGCCGCCTTTGTCTCCCTAGTGGGGATGTTTATTTTACGCACCAAACCAGGTACTCGTTTGATGCTTAGTCGACCTAGGGGAGGCCCAAGACTGGCTCAGAAACTCGTCACTGATGTTGGCCGTGAGAGGAAATCAAACTCGGGTCGCCAGGATTCGTAGCGCAGTGCGCTAACCGCTACACTACCGCTAACGGCACACTCAGTGCACAGTAACACAACAACCACCATTCACCACTAAGTGGTGGCGACGTCACCACGACGCTTGTGCCAGGCTAGGTGCACGCTGAGGCCACGTGAAGTGTCGAACGCCCGCGAGCAGGAGGTCACGGGGCAGACCCAGCAGGTGCCATGGGTCGACTGACTAAGATGACTGGCAGATGCACCACCGGTTCCCTTACTGTGCCAACATTAACACACACAGAGTAACACACACAAGAATAACACACACAGAGTACGCAGAGTAAGATAAAGATCCCCCATTTAGCCTTAACAGACTGTGGTGGCAAGTGCTGTTAGCGAGTAACACACACACAGTAACACACACACACACAGTACACACACACAGTACACACACAGTACGCACACACACAGTACACACACACACACAGTACACACAGTAACACACACAGTATACACAGACAAAGGTCCCCCGTATAGCCTTAACAGACTGTAGGGGCAAGTGCTGTTAGCGAATAACACGCACACAGTAACACACACAGTAACACACAGTACACGCACAGTAACACACAGTAACACACACACAGTATACACACACAGTACACACACAGTACACACACACAGTACACACACACAGTAACACACACACAGTAACACACACAGTACACACACACAGTACACACACACAGTATACACACACAGTATACACACACAGTACACACACACAGTACACACACACAGTACACACACAGTACACACACACAGTAACACACACACAGTAACACACACACAGTACACACACACATAGTACACACAGTATACACACACAGTACACACACACAGTACACACACAGTAACACACACAGTACACACACACAGTAACACACACACAGTACACACACACACACAGTACACACACACACACAGTACACACACACATAGTACACACAGTATACACACACAGTACACACACACAGTACACACACACAATAACACACAGTACACGCACAGTAACAACGCCCCGTTCCTCACCAGCACCGTGGCCGTACGCGGCTCGGGAAGTTTCGCGAAGGGGTGCAGCACGGCCATGGGTGCCGCGAGAGGCGCTCGATCCTCCCTCCGGTCTCACCCCGTCTCCCTCCCCGTCTCTCTCCCTCCCCGTCTCTCTCCCTCCCCGTCTCCCTCCTCCTCCCTCCGGTCTCTCCCCGTCTCCCTCTCGTCTCCCTCCCCGTCTCTCTCCCTCCCCGTCTCCCTCCTCCTCCCTCCGGTCTCTCCCCGTCTCCCTCTCGTCTCCCTCCCCGTCTCTCTCCCTCCCCGTCTCCTCTCCCTCCCCGTCTCCCTCCTCCTCCCTCCGGTCTCTCCCCGTCTCCCTCTCGTCTCCCTCCCCGTCTCTCTCTCTCCCCGTCTCCTCTCCCTCCCCGTCTCCCTCCTCCTCCCTCCGGTCTCTCCCCGTCTCCTCTCGTCCGTTGCCGAAAGCGAAATTCCCGCCAAAACGTCCAACCGGTGGTGGGAAACAACTTCCGGCGCGGCCTGAGGACGTCACATCCCCCAATCGCAATGACATCACATCTCACGGTCGCGATGACGTCACATTCCCCGGTTGCGATGACGTAAAATCTCACGGTCGCGATGACGTCACATCTTCCGTCCGCGATGACGTCATCGCCTCCCCCGACGCTTTAATCGCATGCCGATACGGGCAACAACAATACAAACAACACGTGTTTGTCAACAACACATGTTTGTTTATATTTATAAGATGATCAATAATGTCTGAATTGGTCTGTAATCAGCTCGGACACTGGACAGGTTTCTTATCAAACCCCGCCTCGCACAACCGGCGCGTGACGTCACCCCTCCAGGCCTTGCCGCCCGTGATGACGTCACTACTCATCGATACATCTCGGATCGACGTCATCACGCATCTCTACCGCCCGCGATGACGTCACTTCCCGTCGCCACCGTGCGTGATAACGTCGCCGCGCGCGCTGGAAGCCGTGCGTGATGACGTCACCGCGCGCGCTGGAAGCCGTGCGTGATGACGTCACCGCGCGCGTTGGAGCCGTGCGTGATGACGTCACCGCGCGCGCTGGAAACCGTGCGTGATGACGTCGCCGCGCGCGCTGGAAGCCGTGCGTGATGACGTCACCGCGCGCGTTGGAAGCCGTGCGTGATGACGTCACCGCGCGCGCTGGAAGCCGTGCGTGATGACGTCACCGCGCGCGCTGGAAGCCGTGCGTGATGACGTCACCGCGCGCGCTGGAAGCCGTGCGTGATGACGTCACCGCGCGCGCTGGAAGCCGTGCGTGATGACGTCACCGCGCGCGCTGGAAGCCGTGCGTGATGACGTCACCGCGCGCGCTGGAAGCCGTGCGTGATGACGTCACCGCGCGCGCTGGAAGCCGTGCGTGATGACGTCACCGCGCGCGCTGGAAGCCGTGCGTGATGACGTCACCGCGCGCGCTGGAAGCCGTGCGTGATGACGTCACCGCGCGCGTTGGAAGCCGTGCGTGATGACGTCACCGCGCGCGCTAGAAGCCGTGCGTGATGACGTCACCGCGCGCGCTGGAAGCCGTGCGTGATGACGTCACCGCGCGCGCTGGAAGCCGTGCGTGATGACGTCACCGCGCGCGCTGGAAGCCGTGCGTGATGACGTCACCGCGCGCGCTGGAAGCCGTGCGTGATGACGTCACCGCGCGCTGGAAGCCGTGCGTGATGACGTCACCGCGCGCGCTGGAAGCCGTGCGTGATGACGTCACCGCGCGCGCTGGAAGCCGTGCGTGATGACGTCACCGCGCGCGCTGGAAGCCGTGCGTGATGACGTCACCGCGCGCGTTGGAAGCCGTGTGTGATGACGTCACCGCGCGCGCTGGAAGCCGTGCGTGATGACGTCACCGCGTGCGCTGGAAGCCGTGCGTGATGACGTCACCGCGCGCGTTGGAAGCCGTGCGTGATGACGTCACCGCGCGCGCTGGAAGCCGTGCGTGATGACGTCACCGCGCGCGCTGGAAGCCGTGCGTGATGACGTCACCGCGCGCGTTGGAAGCCGTGCGTGATGACGTCACCGCGCGCGTTGGAAGCCGTGCGTGATGACGTCACCGCGCGCGCTGGAAGCCGTGCGTGATGACGTCACCGCGCGCGCTGGAAGCCGTGCGTGATGACGTCACCGCGCGCGCTGGAAGCCGTGCGTGATGACGTCACCGCGCGCGCTGGAAGCCGTGCGTGATGACGTCACCGCGCGCGCTGGAAGCCGTGCGTGATGACGTCACCGCGCGCGCTGGAAGCCGTGCGTGATGACGTCACCGCGCGCGTTGGAAGCCGTGCGTGATGACGTCACCGCGCGCGCTGGAAGCCGTGCGTGATGACGTCACCGCGCGCGCTGGAAGCCGTGCGTGATGACGTCACCGCGCGCGCTGGAAGCCGTGCGTGATGACGTCACCGCGCGCGCTGGAAGCCGTGCGTGATGACGTCACCGCGCGCTGGAAGCCGTGCGTGATGACGTCACCGCGCGCTGGAAGCCGTGCGTGATGACGTCACCGCGCGCGCTGGAAGCCGTGCGTGATGACGTCACCGCGCGCGCTGGAAGCCGTGCGTGATGACGTCACCGCGCGCGCTGGAAGCCGTGCGTGATGACGTCACCGCGCGCGTTGGAAGCCGTGCGTGATGACGTCACCGCGCGCGTTGGAAGCCGTGCGTGATGACGTCACCGCGCGCGCTGGAAGCCGTGCGTGATGACGTCACCGCGCGCGTTGGAAGCCGTGCGTGATGACGTCACCGCGCGCGCTGGAAGCCGTGCGTGATGACGTCACCGCGCGCGTTGGAAGCCGTGCGTGATGACGTCACCGCGCGCGCTGGAAGCCGTGCGTGATGACGTCACCGCGCGCGCTGGAAGCCGTGCGTGATGACGTCACCGCGCGCGCTGGAAGCCGTGCGTGATGACGTCACCGCGCGCGCTGGAAGCCGTGCGTGATGACGTCACCGCGCGCGTTGGAAGCCGTGCGTGATGACGTCACCGCGCGCGCTGGAAGCCGTGCGTGATGACGTCACCGCGCGCGTTGGTAAGCCGTGCGTGATGACGTCACCGCGCGCGCTGGAAGCCGTGCGTGATGACGTCACCGCGCGCGTTGGAAGCCGTGCGTGATGACGTCACCGCGCGCGCTGGAAACCGTGCGTGATGACGTCACCGCGCGCGTTGGAAGCCGTGCGTGATGACGTCACCGCGCGCGCTGGAAGCCGTGCGTGATGACGTCACCGCGCGCGTTGGAAGCCGTGCGTGATGACGTCACCGCGCGCGCCGGAAGCCGTGCGTGATGACGTCACCGCGCGCGTTGGTAGCCGTGCGTGATGACGTCACCGCGCGCGCTGGAAGCCGTGCGTGATGACGTCACCGCGCGCGCTGGAAGCCGTGCGTGATGACGTCACCGCGCGCGCTGGAAGCCGTGCGTGATGACGTCACCGCGCGCGCTGGAAGCCGTGCGTGATGACGTCACCGCGCGCGTTGGAAGCCGTGCGTGATGACGTCACCGCGCGCGCTGGAAGTCGTGCGTGATGACGTCACCGCGCGCTGGAAGCCGTGCGTGATGACGTCACCGCACGCGCTGGAAGCCGTGCGTGATGACGTCACCGCGCGCGCTGGAAGCCGTGCGTGATGACGTCACCGCGCGCGCTGGAAGCCGTGCGTGATGACGTCACCGCGCGCGCTGGAAGCCGTGTGGGAGCGCCGCCGCCTGCGACGCGGGGCGCGGCAAATAAATAAAAATACTCGAGCAGCACCACGTGACCGGGCGAGTAGCACCACGTGACCGGGCGAGCAGCACCACGTGACCGGTCGAGAAGCATGGCCGCGCCGGGTGGAGGCGAGAGGCCGCGCTGAGACGGAGCGGGGCTACGCAGAGAGACACAGAGACACACAGAGACACACAGAGAGAGAGAGAGAGACACTGAGACACAGAGAGACACAGAGAGAGACACAGAGAGACACTGAGACAGAGAGAGACAGAGAGAGAGACACTGAGACACAGAGACATATAGAGAGACACAGACACTGGGACAGAGAGAGAGAGAGAGACGCAGACACTGGGACAGAGACACACTGGGACACAGAGACGTAGAGTCGTGCAGCGACGGCAGGGGGGGGGCGCTACGGAGCTCGCCATCATCACCGTGTTGCCGGCAACAGAGACGGGCCGTGTGTGTGAGAGGGAGAGAGCCGTGGGGGCCTCTCTGCTCGAGAGACGCAGCAGCAGCAGCAGCTGGGGCAGCAGCGTCGTCCCTGGACTTGAGGAGGAGGCGGCGGCGGCGATGATGATGACGGAGGGGGGAGACGCTCGGGACGACTCTGCGCCGCTGCTGTCGCCCACGTCGGCCCGCAAGGGCGTGCGGTTCGGGCAGGGGGTCGTGCAGGCGCTCAGCAAGTTCCGCCAGGGAGACGCGGCAGAGTACACGCTGCTGCTGCGACAGCTCGCGGACCCCGACATCAAGGTGGGCGGCCGGGTGCTGATGGGGGTTAACACCTGGTGCTGCTGGTGGTTTAATGAATACGAAACTCTGATCCGAGGCTTCGGCTGCTTTCTCGTCGGTGCTGCTGCTGTCGTACTCGGGGGGGGGGGGGGGGGGGGCGTCGGGCACGGGGTAGTCGTAGAATGCGGCGGGCAGGTTGGTCGTGATGAACACGAGGAGCTTCTCCTCCACAATCGTGGGGACTGCCAGTGAGTTCCTGAGCTTGGAATGGACGAAGCCCATCGGTGAGAAGTTCCGCTCGGATGCCGCAATTAGAACCAATTAAACCGGATTTCTCCCAATCTCAGATGATCGGGTTTCATATAAAAAGACAATTAAACCCGATTGTAAAGACCCCGACTGTGCCAGAGACGCTGAGTCTGGGTGGTGGTGATGGCCGCCCCCTCCTCCCTGCACGTGTGCCGTGCCGCCCCTCGTGGGCGCCGCTCGCTCACTGCGCTTCAGTTCCATTCGTGGGGCTCTCGACTCGGGTGCGTCCGCAACAAACTAAAACGTGAACGAGAAACATCTTAAAGTGACTACACGCAGCAGAACACATCCTGAAAAAAACTGCAAATTATTCCAGAACAAACACCGCTTATCAACTCGCCCCTGCAGCCGGCTGGACAGCAACAGGGGGGGGGGGGGGCTTCGTGTTCGTTCGCCACCATCTCCAGCACACCACGTTCACAGCCCTGTCACACTGGCGGCAACAGCCACGGAGGCCTCGCGTCCCCACTCGGAGTGGCGGCGAGGCCTCCGGAGACGTGCGGCGTCTCACGCCTGCTGCTGCTGTTACTGCTGCTGCTGTTACTGCAGCTACTGCTGCTGCTGCTACTGCAGCTACTGCTGCTGCTGCTGTTACTGCAGCTACTGCTGCTGCTGCTGTTACTGCAGCTACTGCTGCTGCTGCTGTTACTGCTGCTGCTGCTACTGCAGCTACTGCTGCTGCTGTTACTGCAGCTACTGCTGCTGTTACTGCAGCTACTGCTGCTGCTGCTGTTACTGCAGCTACTGCTGCTGCTGTTACTGCAGCTACTGCTGCTGTTACTGCAGCTACTGCTGCTGTTACTGCAGCTACTGCTGCTGCTGCTGTTACTGCAGCTGCTGCTACTGCAGCTACTGCTGCTGCTGCTACTGCAGCTACTGCTGCTGCTGCTGCAGCTACTGCTACTGCAGCTACTGCTGCTGCTGTTACTGCAGCTACTGCTGCTGCTGCTGTTACTGCAGCTACTGCTGCTGCTGCTGTTACTGCAGCTACTGCTGCTGCTGGCTACTGCAGCTACTGCTGCTGCTGGCTACTGCAGCTACTGCTGCTGCTGGCTACTGCAGCTACTGCTGCTGCTGTTACTGCAGCTACTGCTGTTGCTGTTACTGCAGCTACTGCTGCTGCTGCTACTGCAGCTACTGCTGCTGCTGTTACTGCAGCTACTGCTGCTGCTGCTGTTACTGCAGCTACTGCTGCTGCTGCTACTGCAGCTACTGCTGCTGCTGTTACTGCAGCTACTGCTGCTGCTGCAGCTACTGCTGCTGCTGTTGCTGCAGCTACTGCTGCTGCTGCTGTTGCTCGTACTGCTGCTGTTGTTACTGCAGCTACTGCTGCTGCTCGTACTGCTGCTGCTGCAGCTGCTGCTGTTACTGCTGTTGCTGTTGTTACTACTATTGTTGCTGTTACTGCAGCTACTGCTGTTGTTACTGCTTGCTGCTGTTGCTGCTGCTTCTGTTGGTACTGCTGTTGTTACTACTATTGCTGTTGTTACTGCAGCTACTGCTGTTGCTGCTGTTGTTACTGCTTGCTGCTGTTGCTGCTGCTTCTGTTGGTACTGCTGCTGGTGCTGCTCGTACTGCTGCTGCTGCAGCTACTGCTGCTGTTGCTGCTGCTGTTGCTATTGTTACTACTATTGCTGCTGTTACTGCAGCTACTGCTGCTGTTGCTGCTGTTGTTACTGCTGCTGCTGTTGGTGCTGCTGGTACTGCTGCTGATTCTGGTGCTGCTGCTGCTGTTGCTACTGTTAGTGCTGTTGCTCGTACTGCTGCTGTTATTGCAGCTACTGCTGCTGCTGGTGCTTCTGTTGCTATTGTTACTGCTGCTTCTGTTACTGCTGCTGTTACTGCTGTTGTCACTACTATTGCTGCTGCCACTGCAGCTGTTACTGCTGATGATGTTGGTGCTGCCACTGCAGCTGTTACTGCTGATGCTGCTACTACTACTGCTGCTACTGATGCTGTTGCAGGAGGTGCAGCTGGAGTGCTGGCTCAAGGAGCTGCGGGGCTGTGTGGCGATGCTCAGCAAGGACTACGAGCTGCTGGTGTCACTGATACTGGTGCGTGACGGCACACGGCACACACGGAACACGCACACGACGCTTAGTCCACAACACACCGCAAAGCACACCTCACACACACACTGCTTGACCCACAACACACTAATATGGGCAGTTGGAGACAGTCGCCCTCCAACAACATCGGAGGGCTCACAACAACGAGCGGAGTGCCAGGCAGATAAAACACTTCAGATTTGCGCAGTTGGTGTTTTTGCCAGCCATCTCAGTCGGTCAACCCATGGAACCTGGTGGGTCTGTCCCGTGATCTTCGGCTAGCGGGCCTTCGACACTTCACGTGGCCTCAAAGTGCACCTAGCCTGGCACAAACGCTGTGGTGACATCGCCACCATTCCGTGGCGAACGGCAGTTGTTGTTGTTGTCTCTGCGTGCATTGAGCAGAGGATCAGCTGGATGTCGCGTGGCCGTGCGGTGGTGGAGGAGTATCTCTCCTTCCTCACTCACCTGGTGTCGGCTCAGACCATCTACCTGCGCTCCTGCCTCATCATGCTGCTCTCCAACTTCACCCGCCGTGCGAGACGCCCCAACACAACCACCCACCCACACAACCACCCACCCACACAACCACCCACACACAACCACTCACCCACACAACCACCCACCCACACAACCACCCACCCACACAACCACTCACCCACACAACCACTCACCCACACAACCACCCACACAACCACCCACCCACACAACCACTAACCAACACAACCACCCACCCACACAACCACTCACCCACACAACCACTCACTCACACAACCACTCACCCACACAACCACCCACACAACCACCCACCCACACAACCACCCACACACACAACCACTCACCCACACAACCACACAACCACTCATCCACACACACAATCATTCACCCACACAACCACTCACCCACACAACCACCCACACAACCAATCACCAACACAACCACTCACCCACATAATCACCCACACACACAACCACCCACACAACCACCCACTCACCCACACACCCACACACCCACCCATGTGTGTGGGGCTCGGTGTGCGGTCTGGGGCGGTGAGTGAGCCACTGCTGCCGCTGCTGCTGCTGTGTGTGTCTGCAGGCAAGCGCGTGGTGGACGAGGCGGGGGGGGAGTTCACAGACTCCGACGATGACGACGAGGGTGAGAGACGCACGGACACAACGACAACAGCCGTCGTTCTCCACTGAGTGGCGGTAACACCACCACGGTGCTTGTGCCAGGCTAGGTGCACTTTGAGGCCACGTGAAATGTCAAAAGCTCGCTGGCAGGAGGTCACGGAACAGATCCAGGTGCTACGGGTTGACTGTTGTACCAGGCTAGGTGCAGGAGATCATGGGACAGGCCCAGTGCCACTTTGTGTTACTGCAGTCTGGAGACAATCACCACCTGCTGCACCACCTGTATGTGGGAGTGACGGGAGACAGGTGGTGGGGGGGGGGGTCATTCTGCCGTGTCTCTCTCGTCTCCCGTGTCTCTCGTCTCCCCGTGTCTCTCGCGTATCCCGTGTCTCTCTCACATATCCCGTGTCTCCACATGTCGTCTCCCCAGATGCGGACAGGTGTTTCCAAATCTGTCACAAGGCCCTGGAGCTCATCGCTGGCATCGTGCCCTCGTACGTCTCCACACACGCCCCCCCCTCCCTCCCGTAGTAATGGTCTAACCCGCCCCGCTCACTCACCCCCTCCATAAAGACACGGTTTAGTCCGTGGGCCCGTCTCTTCTCACACCGGCGTCATTATCCAGCAGCGTTTGTTTAGACACGAGAACCAGGCAGCTTTTTGACTTTATTATTATTATTATTACCGTGCGTGTTTACCTAGTAAAGGCTCCCGTTCTATTCCAATTTATATTTACAGAGCAACTTCACTCAAGGCGCTTGACGTAGCTTATGAAACAATAACAGAATAATAGAAGGATGTCGATGGCAGGGGCGTGCTGGCAGGATTGAGGAATGAGTAACAGTGATGGAGGGTAGTTGGGGGTCACGCAGGGAAGAGCAAGTGAATGGGCAGTAGATAATGGCATTGTGGGTTATCACGATGCCATTATGTCAGACTTTATTGGCAAGTACACTCTCGTCCATAATGGGGCCCTGAATTCAAAATCAAAATGAAAAATATAGTGGAGGAATCCGATGAGCTGTGAAGTTATTTTTTACAGATGTCCAGTAGGGGCAGGCAAGACCGTTACAACAACAAACAGAATAAAAGCTTGAGAGTAGTGCAGTACAAGAAAGGTAAACAAATCACCTAAACACATACAAATAAAACTAAACCATCCCCATCCTACCAGGCAAAGCCCACTGAGGTATTCACTTATTTTTTTTATAGCAACCTGGCCACAAAGTGGCCCATCATTTGTACATTTATATCATCAAAATAATCTAAATAACCTCAATGCATGTGTTTCTAAATGTGAAGGGGTCGGGATCGAATCCGGGACCTCCGGCATACCAGGCGAAGAAGATAGCATCACACCACCATGGCTCCCCTTAAATAGATTTTTAAAAACTATAAAAGTTAAAATTACATAATCAATTCCCAAGCTTCGAAAAGGCAGGATAACAACAGCAAAAACAGTCCCAGACCACACCAAGATAACACGCAGTTTCTCAATACGTATTGTACATAAAAATTGAACTCTAGTTCATTCACAGCTCGCCGCAGCTCACTCGCGGCCTCCAGCGCGTGACCCTGCGTGACCCGGCGTGACCTCGCGTGACCCCGCGTGACCCCGCCCTCTGCGTGCGCAGGACGCCCATGTTCCTGATGCCGCTGCTGGCGGAGAGGTTCCCGTTTGTGACCAAATCTCCGCGGACACAGGTACTGGATGCGTGGCCCCCGCTTGCTTGGTAGCTTGAAGCTTCGCGGTTCGAATCCGGGAGGCTTCCCCAGTTAAAACCGCGGCAGCGTTATATTTGAGCGTAAGATGCTGCTACGCCGTCGGCTCCGCTCGCAAGCGGACATCAAAAGATCAAAGAGTCGGCGCCGTGGTCTGAATCTGAAAGGTTTTGCCTGCAAACGACTCGCCGCACGTGGCAGCTCCGCCGCATCCCTCGCGCGACGCTACGGCAGGGAAGCGCGGCGCCGTGAGAACGGAACAAACTGAACGGCCGCGACTCGGCGAAGATTTACAGTGAAGTCACCGAGGCACCAGTTTTTTAAAATTATTCCGCTTGTGAATGGGGGGGTGGTGTTCTTTGTCTTTTGTGTGTGGTGTGTGTCGAGGCTCGCGTGGGGTGTCATGGTGTGTGACGCGCGTGGGTTTGACACGCGTGTGGTGTTTGTCACGTGTGTGGTGTGTGACATGCATGGTGTGTTGGTTTGACACGCGTGCTGTGTGTGTGTGTAACGTGTGTGGGTATGTGACATACGTGGTGTCACGTGTGTGGTGTGTGACACGCATGGTGTGTTGGTTTGACACGCGTGGTGTGACGTGTATTGTGTGTGTGTGAAGCGCGTGGTGTGTGACACGGGTGTGGGTGTGAAGCGTGTCGTGGGTGTGTGTATGACGCGTGTGGTTAACACGTGTGTATGACACGCGTGTTGTGTGTGTATGACACGCGTGTTGTGTGTGTATGGCACGCGTGTTGTGTTGCTAGGAGTGCTACGTACACAACCTACTGCGCGTCACCACCTACCTGCCCGTGCTGCGACGCGACGTGCTCGCCCTACTGCTGGACAGGCTGCTCAAGCTCGACGTGAGAATCCCCGACCCCTCACCCCTCCTCACCGCTCCTCACTGCTCCTCACCCCTCACCCTTATGTCAATGAGAGGCTGAGCTTCATTTCACTCAGGGCGGCGACCCAGAAAATAATTATAATAATCCCCCCCCCCAGGTGAACGCCCCCCGCCAGGACATTGAGGATGCGGAGCAGCAGGCGGCCGTCCAGTCGGGCGCCGCACAGGAGGAGGTGTTCCACATGGTGAGACAGCCACACAGCCACCAGCTCACCCACCCAGCTACCAACACAGCCACCCACCAACACAGCCACCCACACACCAACCAACACACCCACCCACACACACACCCGTCAACACAGCCACCAGCTCACCCGCCCAGCTACCAACACAGCCACCCGCCAACACAGCCACCCATCCACCCACCAGCTCACCCACCCACCAACACAGCCACCCCGCCCACCCGTCCCCCCACCCACCAACACAGCCACCCACCCACCCACCTCACCCACCCACCCACTCACCCACCCACCCACCAACACAGCCACTCACCCACCCACCAACACAGCCACCCCACCCACCCATCCCCCCACCCACCAACACAGCCACCCACCCACCTCACCCACCCACCCACTCACCCACCCACCCACCAACACAGCCACCCACCCACCTCACCCACCCACCCACCAACACAGCCACTCACCCACCCACCAACACAGCCACCCCGCCCACCCGTCCCCCCACCCACCAACACAGCCACCCACCTCACCCACCCACCCACTCACCCACCCACCAACACAGCCACTCACCCACCCACCAACACAGCCACCCACCAACACAGCCACCCCGCCCACCCGTCCCCCCATCCACCAACACAGCCACCCACCCACCAACACAGCCACCCACCCACCCATCCACCCACCAAGACAGCCACCCACCCACTCACCCACCCACCAACCCACCCACCAACACAGCCACCCACCCACTCACTCACCCACCAACACAGCCACCCACCAACACAGCCACCCACCAACACAGCCACCCACCCACTCACCCACCAACACAGCCACCCACCCACCCGTCCACCCACCAGCTCACTCGCCCACCCACTCACCAACCCACCCACTCACTAACCCACCCACCTACACCAACCAACACAGCCACCCAACCACCTGCTCACTCGCCCACCAACCCTCCCACCCACCCTCTCACCTACCTACCCACCCACCCTCCCACATATCCACCCATCTACCCACCCATCTACCCACCCTCCCATATTTGTGTGAATTTGTGTGTCGGCACTTGCTCCACGAGTCTGTTAATCGCTTTACGGAGGATCTCTTTCTTTGTGTGCATGTACGTGTGTATGTATGTATGCATGTCGGGAGCGGGTGCTCACCACAGCACTTGCCCCACGAGTCTGTTAAAGCTGTACGGGGGGTCTTTGTCTTTGTGGTTTGCTTGCGGTGCCGTACGCTGACGTCGCCGTTGATCCTCTGCCGTGTGGCGCCAGGATGAGGACGCGGGTGTGGAGGCGAGGGGCGGGCGAGGAGGAGGTGGGGAAAAGGGCGAAGACGAAGAGGAGGGGGAGATGGCTCACACGGCCGCCAACACGCTCGATGTCCTCATGGCGCTGCTCTTCCGATACATCCATGACACGTGCCACTCCAACGGTGGGCACAGGCGGAACGAGTGCGTTGGGGAGAGTGGACGGGTGGGTGGGTGGGCGGTTGCGTGAGTGGAGTATGTGGGTGGTTGCGTGGTTGGGTGGGTAGGGTGACCATGGTGAGTAGGAACATTGAGTACAGTGGGTAAAGGAGTAGGGTGTGTGGGTGAAGTGGTTGGGTGAGTTGGGTGAGTGAGTGGGTTGGGTGAGCGGGTGGTTAGGTGGGTGGTTGGGTGTATTGTGTGAGTGAGTAGTGGTAGGGTGAGCGGGTGGTTGGGTGGGTGAGTGGTTGCGTGTGTTGGTGGGTGGGTCAGTGAAGTGGGTGGTTGGGTGAGTTGGGCGAGTTGGGTGGTTGGGTAAGCGGGTGGTTGGGTGAGTGAGTGGGTGAGTTGGGTGTTTGCGTAAGCGGGTGGTTGGGTGAGTTGGGTGAGCGAGTGAGTGGGTGAGTGAGTGGTAGGGTGAGCGGGTGGTTGGGTAAGTGGGTGGTTGGGTGTGTTGAGTGGTTGGGTGAGCGGGTGGGTGAGTTCGATGGTAGAGTGAGTGGTAGGGTGAGTGGGTGATAGGGTGAGCGGGTGAGTTGGGTGAGTGAGTGAGTGGGTGAGTTGGTTGGGTGAGTGGGTTGGGTGAGTGAGTGGGTGGGTGAGTGGTTGGGTGAGTGAGTGGGTTGTGTTCTGTGGTGCTCAGGGAAGCTGGACGTGGAGATGACGAAGGCTGTGTACCGGGACCTGCTGGATGCGTTTGACCGCCTGCTGCTGCCCACGCACGCCTCCTGCCACGTGCAGTTCTGCCTCTTCTACCTGTGCAGCTTCCGCCTCGTACGACGGCACCCCCCATACGCACACAGACAAAGGTCCCCCGTGTGGCCCGCACACGCTCTTGGGGCAAGTGCTGTTAGCGAGTAGCGCCTACGAATGCTGACGCGGCGCACGAGGGGATGGGTGGCCAATGCCACGCCCGGTCACCTTTGTCTCCCCACACATCACACCGGGTGCTCGCTTTGCGGCTGAGTCGACCTAGGGGAGGCCCAGGACCGGTTCAGATAATCGTCACTGATGTTGGTGGCCGTGAACGGGAATCAAACTCGGGTCGCTGGGTACGTAGTGCAGTAATTTAACCGCTGCACCACCGCTCCACACATACAAAGGTCCCCTGTGGAGCCCGCACAGCACCTCTCTTGGCCACCTTTGTTTCCCCTGACGTTTATACATCGAACCGGGCACTAACTTAAGGCTGAGTCTACCTAGGAGAGGCCCTACCAGTTCAGGGAGCTATCACTGATATTAGAAACTCACCCCACTGGGATGTACTGGGCCCAGATTAGCATGGTTGGATATGTACGGTGCGGAAGTAGGCCAATACGCATGGATACATTCATCGCGACGGCCAGAATTTGAACCATGGCGGTGGAGTTTGCAGTGCAGTACGCTAACCACTGTCCCCCTCCCTCGTCCCCCTACCAACACTTGCCCCAACAGCCTGTACAGGCTACACGGGGGATCTTTGTCATTGCCTTAACCACGGCGCCGCCTGTTTCACGGTGCGACCTTGCAGATCGCGGCGTCAATTGTCAGAGTTGGGTCATTTGTCAAATAGAAAAAATTACTCGCAGACTCCTGAAGAGCAATCGTCAACCCCCTACTGGCAGGCTGATGCCCCTTGTTGTTGGCCAGGTGCTGGATCACCTCGTGGCGCACAGGCACAGCTGCCACTGGGGGTGCCCTTTCATACATGTTGAGATGTGCGACGGGATGTCCTGTGGGACGCCGCAGCATATAGGAGGGCACGTTATCAAAAACGTATTAAGTGTATAGCTGTATCTGCGTGTGTGTAGCTGTATCTACCTGTATGTATAGCTGTGTGTATGCACAGCTAAGTTTGAACTGTATCTCTGTGTGTGTGTAGGGTCTGGCAGAGGCGTTCCTTGAGCACCTGTGGAAGAAGCTGCAAAACCCCAGCGAGGCAGCCATCATAAGGCAGGCAGCCGTGGGCTACATGGGCAGCCTGCTAGCCCGGGCCCAGTACATCCCAGTGGGGTGAGTCTCAGCCTGCTAGCCCAGGCCCAGCCCATCCCAGTGGGGTGAGTCTCAGTCTGCTAGCCCAGGCCCTGTCCATCCCAGTGGGGTGAGTCTCAGCCTGCTAGCCCGGGCCCAGCCCATCCCAGTGGGGTGAGTCTCAGTCTGCTAGCCCAGGCCCTGTACATCCCAGTGGGGTGAGTCTCAGCCTGCTAGCCTGGGCCCAGCCCATCCCAGTGGGGTGAGTCTCAGCCTGCTAGCCCAGGCCCAGCCCATCCCAGTGGGGTGAGTCTCAGTCTGCTAGCCCAGGTCCTGTTCATCCCAGTGGGGTGAGTCTCAGCCTGCTAGCCCAGGCCCAGCCCATCCCAGTGGGGTGAGTCTCAGCCTGCTAGCCCAGGCCCAGCCCATCCCAGTGGGGTGAGTCTCAGTCTGCTAGCCCAGCCCATCCCAGGGGGGTGAGTCTCAGCCTTCTCACCCTCCCACTTCATGAACACATTAAAATAGACAGCCAACGTGGGAGGACTCTCCTGAGCAAAAGCCCTACAACTCGGCTTGGCTCTCCGGGGTAAATCGGTAAATAAGTAAAGCCGCCTTGTGTTGTTTTGCGTACACTATCATATCGTGGCGTGTCGCTTGGTTTTGATGATACATCTCGCCGCTGTGCCCGCGTCTGTGCTGTGTGCATGCGCGCTACGTCAGCACGGTGCGCGCGTGCCTGGGGCTGCTGGTGCCCTGGCTGCACCGCTACATCGACGGGCAGGAGGGCGGCGCGCGGCCCCGCTGCCTCGTGGCGGCGCACGGCCCCTTCTACGCCGCCTGCCAGGCCGTCTTCTACTCCTTCTCGTTCCGCCACCGACAGCTGCTGGAGCCCGACATGCGCAAAGGTGAAGGCCGCACGCACGCGGGCAGGCACGGGGAGTGTGTGCGTGTGCGCCCACGTGATCTTATATTTATACAGAGCGCCTCAACTCACAAGGGCGCTCTATAACGTGGTTTAAATGGTGGTCACAAAAATCGAGTGATTTAGATGGCAAGGGGCGTGCAAGGGCTGGGGAATTAATGACCGTAACGGAGGTCACTCCGTTACGTGGTGCCGGCCTTCATCGGAGATACTCGCGAACGGCACTTCCCCTCAGTCTGAGAAGGCCACATCGGGGATCTTTGTGTGTGTGGCCAGGCCTGGCGTACCTGCAGAGCCTCAACCTGGAGCGGATCGTGCTGTGCCGTCTCAACCCCCTGCGCGTGTGCCGCCCACCCATCGTCAACATCTTCGCTGCCTTGACGAGGTGAGCGTCGTCGCGCGGCGGTGTCCGCTGCTGCCCCGTGGCTCCGATCCTCCGCACGCCGATCCATCTCCCGATTGGTGACCCCGGTGTGGCTACGGTGGCCGGTTCCTAACGGTCGTGTCAGCCGCTCAAGCCTGCTGCGTGTGTCCGTCTCCGTGTCTCCCCAGGCGGTATCAGATCGCGTTCTGCTACTCCATCATGGAGAAGAACAGTCGGCAGAGACTGCCCGTGGCCGGGGACACGCTCGTGGGGGCCGCCCCCGCCTCGCACGACCAGCTGGACGCCGTCTTCCCTTTTGACCCCTACCTGCTGCGCCGGTGAGCACCGCCTCCTCCCCCACCAGCGCCTGGAGGGCGCCGCCCGCCACCACACGGTGTCCCGGAGGTGCCCCGTCCTGTGTGTCTCACCGTTTGTCTCTGTCGACCCCCCCCGTGCATCCCCTGTGTCTCAGCTCCAGGAGAGTGATTGCGCCGTTGTTTCGCGAGTGGAGGAATGAGGATCTGGGCGGAGATCTCGCATTGAAGGGTCGGCCCAGCAAGGTGCTTCCTTTCATCATAACCATCATCATCGATACCATTGTCGCCATCGTCACATCCGTGTTGTGGTGGTGGTAGTGGCATACATTTGAGTGACCGGCTGCTAATCTTGACTGGGTTATGCTGTCACTGTGGGTGTGTTGTTGTGTCCGGTGATGATGCAGATGGTGGTGGGCCAGCAGCAGGAGGATGAGGATGACTTCCTGAAGAGCGACGCGGCGATGAGGAATGGCAGCAGCATGACCCCCGGCTCGTACGACCCCTTCAACAGCGGCGGAGCGAGTTTCGACTCTCCTCCATACAAGACGGACATGGGCCCGACTCCCCACGCGTTGTAGTTACAACCGCCACCGCCGCCAACTTCCACCACCAACAGCCACCAAAAATAGTCATCAAATGCCACCAACACCACCACTCATCACCACTCAATCCTGCGGCAGCACATTCGCCGCTCGTTGCAGAAGTTCGCGGTTACAATTTGACAGACCGCCCTGGTTGACACTCACGTCAGAGTGGTGTATTTACATTTTACCTACCCTGGAGGGATGGGCCGAGTCAGCCCACAACCAGGACTTGAACTCACGACCTTCTGATTGCGAGCCGCCCGCTCTAGCGCCAAGCTGCCCGCCCGGTGGGTTGGTATTGCGCTATCAAACACTCGGCAGTCTACTTCAAAATGCAGGTCGAAGATCCTGCGACGTCGTTCAAAGAGAAGCCGGCCGTCGTGTGGCAGCGTCATGGCCCAACTTGCTAAGTTTGAAAAAAAAGAATGACCTGGAAACGACTCGGTCGGCAAATTCGAGAGCGATCGTCGTCCCACAGCACAGATGAAGGCTGGCCGTCACCCCATGACCGGATGTATGTGTGTGTATATAAATAAACTCCTAAAAAATTTTTTTTTTAAACAACGGTTTTATTAACTTCGTTTAACTCGCGGTCGCCTGCTTTTTGTGCGAGCCGATTCCACAGTTTAGGGACCGCGGCGTTTTTGGCCTACAAAAATATATAAGCCGCCTATAAAAAGTGTAATTGCTTGAAAGAAGGCAATTAATTGATTGATCCCTATTTTGATACAGGCATGCAATGTCACCGGACCTGAGTACGTGTGTGCAAAATGTGGAATTGATTGGACAACGGGAAGTCGGCTAACTTTTGATTACAAGATTTGACCACGACAAACACGTGAAGTTAAATAAAACCGTTGATAAAGTTAACTTCGTGAAAAGACGAGAGCTGGAGTACGAGTTCATGGCACGCAGTGCGAGTGCATGACCCCTCGGAGTTGCCGTGTGTAGAATCGTTGCATCTCGAGATGGGACCGCCTACTGCTGCAGTTCAAGTCCAGTGTTTAAACCGTTCTAAGTGGGGGCAGCATCCCTGATGTTTTGGATATTTAAAGCGTTTCGTTCTGTGCCAGTATTTTGTGGTGTACAGTGCAACCACGTGGATTGCTCCCTGTGTTCTGGAGAGCATGTGCCGTGAATACAGTCCCCGTGTACAACGCACCACACTCGCAAAGACGCGTAAATGTTTACAGACTAGTGCGGTAAGACAGCCCCGCCGCTGGAGTTTCTCGAGGGGTTTGTCCGAGGGGCCAGCCCTGTGAAGGTGATGCCCCAGGGCTGGTTGGGCAGCAGAGGGCAGTGGAGCAACATCCACTGCACTCTCCTCACGAGTCGATGGCTCTCCCCCCTTTCCCAAGCTACAACTGACCAAGGTGGACGTAATTTTTTTGTGATTTTACCGAAAAAACCTAAGAGTATGAATCCTTGCAGTCACGAAAAGCTTCAAATCTAGATTTAAATGGTTAATTCTGGTACAATAACACCCACCGTGTGTGGAGGCCCTCATCCAGCAGTCGATTCACAAAGGCCTGTACAGTGATTAAGTCTAACGAAATATTTTCTCACTGTACTTTATTTGAAAATTATTTTGCACTTCTCAAAAAGAAACCAAGGAATCCCCTGAGCCCAACACATTAGGTCACAACAATAACCAAATTGCAATGTTACAAATTTCAGATTAAATTTTTAAAACAAATCAACATTCGCAAACCTTCACCCCACCCCAGAACATTGATCTATGATCAGACTAACCAGGATTTAAACTACCCTTGAACTTAGATTCCCTTTAAACAGCACCAGCCGCCCCAGGAGTGTAACGCCCTCACAATCCGCCCGCCCCATTGCCCTCACTTGGGTGGTGGTGGTGCCATAGCCATGCAAACGAGGAAGGGAGAACCAACAACGAGGTGCAGAAGAGGGCATCACGGAACTATTGCTGAAATCCCTTCGGCTGGCCTCTAGGCAGACGAGCCACACTCCTTGTATAGGCCCAGCTCAGGAGTGTTTGTCGTATGCAAATCAAGCCAGATTCTCGGGGCTGGATATATCATCATGCAGGCCTGGTCAGGGACTCGCAGAGAGATGAAGAGTTGCCGTTATTGCATGCCAAGCATTTGTGGGGTGTTTGTTGGCAGGCTTTGATTTCCTCTCACGATAAAACGACGCAGACAACAACCTCACTAGAGGATTGGACCTCGCGTCCAGCCATCACCACTGCCCTGCCTCACCCAGTGCTGCGGGCGCCGCTTGTCCCACCCACAGAGGCCAGGAGAGCAGTGGTGACGAGCTGTCACTGGCACCGGGTGAAGCGCGATTCCTTGCCAAGCCAGCTGCCGAAAAGGTCCCTTGTTCCCCCCCCCCCCTCATCCTCGCCTCGTACTGCTAACCTATGTAACCAGTCCTCAACCCACTCATGCCTTACCCACCAGGTGAGTCTGCAGTGTATTTTAGGTCTCATGCACACTGCTCACCGTACGTTGGCTTTGAGTCGTCACTTGACAGACATTGACACAGATATCCGGCAGGTGACTTGCAACCATCGGAGCCCTCGATTCTGATTCACAAATCGCGTCTCATTTAAAGCCACAGAAAAAAAGAAAAGACTCAACTCTAAAGAGAGATTGTGTGATCTCCGTGTGAAATATAAGGACCTGAAATGCCTCTCACCTGGGAAATGCTTTGGCTGGATATCTAGAAATATCTGATATGTAAACGTGTTAAAATTACGATATGCTAAAATAATATTTAAACAATTGCCTATAGGGCCATGACAGTGAAAATTTTGGGGAAACGGTATCCAGTAACGCACATTCCTTTGGGCAACTCTGTACAGCAATGCCAGAGGGTTGGAGAGTGACGATGTTGCTCGAGACAGCACACAAGCTTGAGTAGTAGTCATGTGACCTCTGCGATCTAATTTGAGGTCACCAATTGGGAAAGCGCATTGCGATCAATGCCCGCGTGTGTCAGATGAGCGCCCACCCGCACGCCGCCGCCACTGCTGCTTTCAACTTTCAGTTGCCATCGGGGGTTTTTCCTCGGCGTTGATACTGCACGCACAACATCCCGTTACGTAACGGGCGCAATGCAAGCGCAGGTGTCGTCGCCGTCCCCCCCCCCCCCCGCGTCACCCCCCCCCCCGCGTCACCCCCCCCCCCGCGTCACCCCCCCCCCACCCCACTCACACGTGCGGGATGGGCTTGGCGAAAACGGCGATGCTCTCGATGCCGCACTCGTCGCTCCCGCGCCGAATACGGAAGTATCCCCGCTCCCCCCATTCCTCCCCCCAGCTGTTCTTCACCACCCAGTAGCGCTCGCCCGTGCCCGGCTCCACGCCGTAGCCCACCACCGCCACCGCGTGGTTCGTTTCCTCGAACGGGTTGAAGGAGTCGCGCAGCCCCGTGTGGTGGTACACGCCGCCGCGGTAGTGCAGCAGGTCGTCGTACACCTGCAGGCCGACCGCGAGCGGCCCGTGCGCCACCAGCTCCAGCCGCATTAGCTCATCGTTGCAGGCGCCGTAGTAGCCGCCCACGTAGCCGTAGTGCGCCGCGTAGAAGCGGTAGCAGTCGGCGCGCAGGGGCCGGCACGTGGCGTCGTCGCGCCCCGTGTACGGGTAGCAGCTCTCCTCCACCAGCCCAAAGTCCTGCGCGTACTTGCCGCCGATCAGGTACGGGAAGCCGCCGTCGCAGCCTGGACAGGGGAGGGGAGGGAGGGAGACTCGAATCTGTGGTGATCTCCAGTTGCCCAATCTTGGCCAACCGGCTCAAAAATGTAACTAAACTAAAACTAAACCGTTTGTGTGGCTGGATAGAGGGGGCTAAACGGGCACGGCACGGGCTAGAGAAGAGAGGGGCTGATGTGGTACAGGAGGATGTGGAGCCGAGCGGACTTGCAATGGCTGGTACCAGCGGTGTCAAGATCGGCCTTTGTGGAGGAGGTTCGTGAAGGACGCCGCTGAGGAGTGCAGGGGAGCGATGCTCACATCAACGAGCGGAGCGCCGGGCGGAAAAAACGCAGCGAGTTGGCACAGTGAGCTGGTGCATAGCTGGTGCATCTGGCAGTCATCTCAGTCAACCCATGGCACACCTGCATGTCCCGTGACCTCCTGTCAACGGGTGTTCGACACTTCGTGGCCTCAAAGCGGCACAATCACTACGGTGACGCAACTGTCATTTAGCGGTAAACGGCGTCTGTTGTTGTTGTGAGCTGCAGTGTGATGGGTGCACACGGTGTGGGCGAGGCAGTTCGGTGGAGCGAGTGATCAACGTGGCGTGTGGGTGGAGACGCTCGCTCGCTCCTCCTCGCTTTGGCCGAATGTTCGTCATCGTCGGCGTCTGTCTGACCTTGGGAGAAGTTGCTGCACGACACGATCTGCTGGGTGCTCAGGATGGGCGCCTGCGACGCGTTGGTCAGGATGCGGATGCGAGCCTCCAGCATGGCCATGGAGGAGAATGAGTAGCAGCTGCCGCACGACCCTACACACAACACGCGATACAGCAGTGTCTCAGTGTCCATTGATGATACACAGACTGGTCTCTGATGAGGTCCATAGACAATGAGGTCCACAGACAATGATACACAGGCTGGTATCTGATGGGGTCCATAGACAATGATGCACAGGCTGGTATCTGATGGGGTCCATAGACAATGATGTACAGGCTGGTCTCTGATCAGGTCCATAGACAATGATGCACAGGCTGGTATCTGATGGGCTCCATAGACAATGATGTACAGACTGGTCTCTGATGGGGTCCACAGACAATGATACACAGACTTGTCTCAGTAGGACAGCTCACCCTGGTTCCGGATGGGAGAGACGTAGTTGATGCCGTTAACGTTCCTCCAGTCCCAGGATGTGGGCAGGGCGGATGCGAGTCGTCGCGTCTCCTCCGTCACCACAGACGACTTTGGTCGCCTACAAACGCAGACGCGCACACACGTACACACCATGTCAGATAATCCTTCTCTTCCCTCTGCTAATATTTTCACACCTCAGGGAGGCCCATCACTGGTGCTGGCCACAAGTGTGAATCGAACTTGGGTCAAATTAAATTAAGGTTCCGTACTTAATTTGGATTAATTCCAGCTGATAATTATTCGGTTTGCGCGTTATACAAGCAGCAGAGCTGGTGGGAAAGTGCTGCCTTCTACCGTACGGACCAGGGAGCGTCACTCGATGAAGGGGATCTCGGAGGTGGCTCTGCGATGTCCGCTTCCGCGGGTTGTTCTCAACCACGGGGAGATGCAAACTGCCCGCTCGAGAGATCCATTTGGACGCTTACAACTCGTGACGAGACACCGAGAGCCCAAATTGGGATTAGCCAATTTAAAAAAATTATTTTACCAGGTAAGGCCCACCGAGCTATTTCACTCTTGTACAGAAGCGACCCGGCCACAAATGACTAAGTGGTTTACGATGGGAAAATGTATCGCAGCCAAATACTCTAAACACATGTTTCTAAATGTGGAGGGGTGAAACCGGAGAACCGGGAGAAAAATCCACACGACCACTTGGAAAGATACACGCAAACTCCAATCATACAGCAGGCGTCAGGGTCGTGATCGAACCCACGACCTCCTGTACACCAGGCGAGGTAGTTAACATCTAGCCACCGTGGCGCCGAACTGGGGAGTAACCAACGACGGAGCCTGACAATCTGCGACCCCGTCAGCCTCTCCTCCCCCGTCTCACCCGTGGATGCGCGACGCACGCCCACCGGCCCGACGCGTCAGCTCCCCCAGGCTCAGGCCGTCGTAGAGCGGGTAGCGCACGGCGCGCCACGAGTGCTGCGCCTCGTTGACCTGCTGCACGAAGGCCGCATTGTGCTCGTAAAGCCTGCGCACGACACACGGTACACGACACACGGTACATGACACGGTACATGACACGGTACGCAGCATGCGATATACGGCACGCGTTCAGGGAAACCGCAGTGCTCACGACGTGCGGTGCAGCGCATCTGCACGTATGTCCATACATACGTCGAACTTCTTGCTCGACACACAATAAAGATTTACATTTACACATCCCATCAGCCCCACAACTTTCTGGGACGTATTTTTTTCCAGAAGTATCAGTTTCGTACAAAGCAAATGCTGCACCAGGTTTTGATATTAAATGTCTCATCGGCATCTTCAGGCTTGCCAAAACCAATATCGGGTAAGGACACGGGGGTCCTAGATTGACGCAGAGGTAGGTTCCTGTTGATCTTCCCTTGTAAATAAAACAAGAGAGAAGATGTTGCCATGCTTGGGAAAGTTGACCCAGGCGGGTCATGTGATGCCCACTTACCAGTGGACTAGGATGACAAACACCCTCCGAGACACGAACACACGGACACACACAGATACAAAAGATAATTAAAGATCCCCCACATGGCCTACCCAGACTGTTGGTATGTACGTTGAACTTAATTCACACCCCTTGTAGTCAACCGTGCTCATCGCAGGTGCGGGGAAGGACAACAAACTCAACACAAAAAGTGCTGTCAAGCGGGTACCTCTGAAGGCTGTGTACGAAGCAGAGTTGTGGCAAGCACCATGCCCCACCGGCACCACGCCCGATCCCCTTTGTCTTCCCAGTGCAGATATTTTACACACTGCATAAGGTACTCATTTGAGACTCAGACCATCTATGGGAGGCTCAGGACCGGCTCGGAGCATGAATCGAACCCGGTTTGCCGGGTTTGTAGCGCAGCACGATAACCGCAGCGCTAAGCGATGCATTCTCCACCTACATAAACTCCTTCCTACTCGCACTCACTCACAAACAGCTACAGGGCCAATCATTAATTCCATTCCGCCCAACCCCCCACCTCGCATCATCTTTCTCAGACTCGGCACTCTTCGCTGGCCAAGCCTGGCAAGTGCCAACTCTCCCGTGGGATGACCTTGCGGGCCAAAGTCTCAATCTGGGTCAGGTTCTTCAGCGCGTTTTCCCTTTTTCTCCCCCAGTTCTATTCCAATCGTGTTGCCAAGGTCCAGGCGCAGCCCAGCAATTGCTTCCTCGTGCTGCTGCTGCCAGAAGGGCTCTCTGCGAGGGGGGGGGGGGCGGCTGTGGCGAGCCCCTCCACGGGGGACCTGAACAAGTCATGTTTCACTGCCCCCGACAAGTGGAGACCACCGTCAACAACCCACGTCCCATCATCAACAACGACCCCACGTGGAACGAGGTGTGGGGATATTTCTCCGAATAATCGGAAGGATCAAGGACTCCACCAAACCGGGAATGCGGGGAGGTGCAAACCCTCAGGCGTACATCACGGACGGCTGTCGCATGACAACCACGCACTGTGCTCTGGTGGAACGAGCCGATTGCTCCACTCCGTTACCGCCCCAGACACTCGCAACATTAAACCTGCAAATGTAGAGCTGCTGCCGCTCTTTCCATGCCATGCGAATGACACACGGTGGTGCCGACAAGGTCAGAACACTCGACTCCACAATCGGAAAATTACGACTCAATATCTCGGTCATGTGATTCGACCCAACCAATCATCTCCCCTACGGTCAATAAAATGGAGTTACAGTTTTCAGTGGTTGATACTTGCTCTGTGGCTCCCTCCAGTGTCACGTGGTATGTTCAACAATGCGTCAGGGCCGCCAATGGAAATGGGCATTGGTAGTTTGAACAGGGAGATGCGATTTAGTTGACAGGTGAAAACGAATAAAGCTTCAGCAGAACTCCATTCTTACAGTCCACATGAATACAACGTCTACTCCATCAGGCTTTTGGCTTTCCAGTCCAATATCAAACAACACTTTTCCCAGTTCAGTGTTGTTGTCCTGCCCCCGCAGCTCCGATTATCACAGTTGGCTACGTACGGTGCGATAGAAGTTCAACACACACACGTATAAGCAGCGTGCGCTTAAGTGAACCTCTGCTGTGATTTTGACCTTCTGGGTCTCATCAGCATACTGCTGCATTACCCGATGTCATCGGCCAGAGCACTCCATTTAAAATAATGGACTCCCACCCCCGCCCATTCCTCGTTCAATGAAAAAAAAGTCAACGCCGGACACATTTGGCGTCTCTGCGGAGCGTCGTTCATCCGATGAGCTCACGCACCCACCGGGGGATATATAAAACCCATTCTGAAAGAGGAAGGCGGAAGCCAGACAGCGCAGAGCGCAAACAGCTGATGCAAGTGCATCAAGCCAGACCAGGCGGTGTCACGGTAAAGCAAGTTTGTTATCTGGACATTGGACTGCGGGTACCCGCACCACAGACAGAGATTAAGATCTTGCACCGTATGGCCAGAGCTTGCTATGGCTCGAGGCGACCATCTATTAAGGGCAGCATGCCAGAGACAAAGGGGGAGGGGGGTGTCTGGCAGCACGCCCAGCTCACCTTTGTCTCCATCCAGCAGTGGACAATACCAAAAGGAGGTGTCCACATGCACATGTACAGACACGGGCTCTGTGATGCAGGTATATAAAATGTAGATTTCTTTTTGAGAGTGGTGTTTGACGATGGGGTCTCCAAGACAGCGATAACCCGACAGACCGGTCTCCGTTCGACATTATGACACATTTATTATTATATATTTAAATAAAGAAAACCCGTAGGCGAACGCAGTCTCATTACCCCAACCTCCTCCGCAAACCGCACTGGGAAACTCGTGACCTTGAGCAACAACTCCACGCAGATAAATAAGTGCACGAAGTTGAGTCAACAGATTTTAGTTTTCGCTTCCTCTTACAAATGGCAGTTTCGGGCAGTTTATGAAACGATAACGTGTGCGTAGTCACAGTGGGTGGCTATGCCCACTTCCCCTTTTTTGGGGACCCCCCCCCCTCGCTCCCTCTTTACATTTCTTTAGAAAATGGAAACAATAAGATTGAGTTACAGTCACGAAAACATCAGAAATACTGAAGTGTGCAGAGCTACGCTGCATCGCTGTTTACTGCGCTCCTCACAGCGAGTCGTTGTGAGTCACAGTCAACTGTAAAGGTCCATCAACTTCACACGGAACAGAAAATGGGCCATTGCAGAATGTGATTGTTTGTTTTTTACCGTAAAGACCAAAAAGTGTTCGGTATTTACGGTGTGCATGGCGTGCTGCGCATCTCCCACTTACAAATGCATCGATCACATTTAACACTCCACCTCCACGCTGTGCAGAAGTTTGTTTTTATTGGCCGGCTCGGTCCGGCTAAGTACAAATTATGGATATGCAGGGTCAGGCGGACGTATGTCAAACTTCTTTCACACCGTATGTAGCCAACCGTGTCAATTGGAGGTGCATCAGCCAGCATTTTACTCTAGATCAGCCCGAGGCCCGCACTGCCGCCGGACAATCACCGCATCGACGCACGCTGGCCCCGGGGTCTCTCACCGCGTGCTGGGAGCCTCCTGGACGCTCCACTGGGAGCCCACGCCGCCCTCTTCTCCTCCTGCAGCTTCCGCTCCTCTCCACGACTGCGGCTTCACTCGGCGGCCCCTGAAGCAGGCCCAGTTGCGGCCCAGCACGTCGTGCACCCAGCCGGCCCGCGTCTCCGCGCACAGGCTCGTCACGACGGTGCCCACCTTAGTGAACTGACGGGCGGGTGAGAAGGCAGAGAGAAAGAGAGAATACGTAAGATGCGGACACTCGAGTGCTCGGGCCCGGACTCCCGAATTCGTCAGCGATGTGACAAGGCAACCGATCACGGGAGATTCCTGTTCTGCCGTGTTCTACGTGGAGAGACAAGTGTGTGGGAAGGCCGCGTACGGTTGCCTTGCGAGCGACAGCCGGTGCTTACGTTGAAGAAGGCGAACCACTTGTACCCGGTGAGCACCACCTCGAAGCCCTGGTTGTAGATGATGGTGAACGTTCCCTGGTTTCCCTTCTCGTCGGCCGCCACGTTCATCTTGAGCAGGTGCAGCCGAACCACCTGTACGGCCTTGCCTGCGTGGGGACACACCGAGCGTTACGGGGCTGGGTCGCCGTGGGCATACAACGCAGGTTCATGACACGCAAAAAGCGCATTGCCACAAGTGAACCACGATAGCTCGCAGATATCGTCAAGAAGCATAAACTATCATCACGCAAATTCCAGTCATCCTCGCAGCGGTGGCTTTCGGCTAGCCACTGAACAAAGATGGTCACCGCATTGCGCGCTTCTGCGGCCGTCTGGAACGCTTTTCCTTCCGATATTAGGAAGCCACTGGAGCTGTGCACTTTTAAATCTAAACAGAAAACTAATTTCTTTAGAATTGCTTTTTGTGTTTAGTGTTGCTGACCTTCCCCCGCACCTCCCATGAGCACGGTTGGTTACGTACGCTGCTAAACAAGTTAAACACACACACAAGATCGGTGCACCTGGCATCCACACGCATCTGTATCTCAAGACACTGTAGACTAGCAATAGTGGGATTGGATGGGTGACATTTCGTGCACGTGGCTTTTATTAACGAATGTGTTGACTTTTCTGTTCATGTGCAGCTCTCTCACCCATGCGGTGTGACACTAGCGTTGCCACCTGTTCCAGTAGTGACCCAGACGGCTCTAAATTTGGCGTGACCGAGGTGGAAGGAATTTATTTGAGACCTCGTGTGCAACTTAATTACAGTAAACTGTGGGCTTTTCCTGATGAAAATAGTTTATTTGTATATTTTTAGTGATTTGCTAACCTTTCCTATACTTGTAAATTCTGTCGTGCGTTTGTATTGTTGTGGTAACTTTCCGACTCGCCCCTATCTACTGGACATCGGTAACAAAGAGCTTTATATCTCATGGATTCCTCCAGAATATCCATTCCGAGAGACCTCGGCTGAGAAATGTCCGGGTTGGGTCTGCGTAAGATGGCGATTGGTGGCAGCACAGCCCCTACGCGGGATCGGTGCGAGTTTCACCAAGTCCTCCACATCGCTTTACTCCACGCGGCAAATGCGATACGGCCAGGGTGCCAAACGCCCCCCAGATGCAGGACCCTCATCGCAACGAGTGTTGAGACTCTGTAGATTGTTCCTGCACAGACTCCACTCCACAGCAGTGTCCTGAGAGACGACACAAAGACGGAGCCCTCCCTCCCTCCCCTACAGCATGTGATTACAGTCACGGAACAACTCAAATGAAGTCGTGAGAAGCACAGGGCGCTTCAAAAATGTGCCGACTGCGGACTCTGGAAACCACCTGGAGAAGATTCCAAGCACGCGTTGACAACGATGGCGATCAAGTGGGGGAGACTGACTTTGTGAAGCTATTAACATTACATTTGTTATCGTGCTACAGTGTTTTATCCGTTCTTTTTCCATTAAAAACGATAGTCCCATATAATTGTTAAACATTTATTGATGCACCCTGTATTTAATGAACATGTTGATACAATGTACTTATTATACTTCACCCCAGACGGGACCTCTCACTTTGTAGGCATGTCCCGTGGGTGGTGTCAGCTTACACGTACACGGCAAACACCTATTGACTTGTACACTCACATCTTATTATTTACATTATCTGGCTGCTATGACATTTACACGAGACGAGAAGCCCCTTCTCGTTGGGCTACCATTTGTAGCCAGATCACTTCTGAAAGAGCTGTATAGCTTGGTGGGCTTTTCCTGGTAAGATAAAACAAATAGTTTACCGGTATTAATTCTAGATTTGAAGTTTTCGTGACTGCAAGGATCCATACTTTTTGGTTTTTTCGGTAAAGTCACGTAAGTTAAAAACAAAATAACATGTAATTAAAACAACTAAATTAAAACAAAACACGACGTATATCTCATACGCTACAGTAATTTTGCTGGAGCAGCCACCTGATGACGGAGGCTTGTGTTGCCTTCGAAACGTCGTGATTTGTTTTAATTTAGTTGTTCTCATTTTAATTTATTTTATTTAGTTCTTTACCTACGTGACTTTACCGAAAAAACAGAGTATCGTTTACCGGTAGTTGTATTTGCATTTATATTCGTTATTTATTTACCTTTCACACACTTTGCACTCTTATCGTATTTTTTTATTATTTGTTGCTGTTATGACCCCGCCAAGGCCGTAGTAGCCATGGAGTCAACATTGGGGGGGACCAAATCTTCCAGAGGGTCTGGGCCCCCCCAGAATTTTTTTTTAAACTAATTTCCTGCCATTTCCTGCGTTAAATATTTAAAAAATTCACTAACACATAGGATAGACTTTTTATTTATCTTTTTACAATAATGTCTACTAGTGTATTGTATTACATTGCTGTTTTTCTTTTTTACATTTTCTTGTTTCATTGTATGTAATGGCAGAGATTAGGGATTACTAAAGTACAACCATAACCACAATCATATGAACAGGAATCTATTTTATAGCAATATATTGGGGGGGGGGGGCATTTTGAGAATATTTGAATATTGGGGGGCTGTTCCCCCAAATATTCAAATAAATATTTTATAATTCCGGCCTTGAACCCCGTCCCCACCGAACATCTCTGAAAAATCGCTTTATAGCTAATCGGATTCCTCCAGTCGACATAAAGACTCAGATTGTAAGAGTTGTGCACCGAATACCAGCCAGGCTGACATACACAATTAGATCAACAAACACATCATCAAAGTCTGCTCGGACACGAGGAATGTACTCACTCGAGCTGCACCATTCATGTACGAGTTGTAACTCTATTGCGGTGAAGATGAAAAGGAACGAGTGTGGAATGAACGGAGGGCGAAGTGAAAGTCGCGGGCCGGGTTCGACCCGCGGGCTGCAGAGCCCCAACGCCTCTTAGGGGGCCTCTAAGGGGTAACTAGGGGGTGTCTAAGGGGTCTCTAGGGGGTCTCTAAGGGGGTCTCTAGGGGGTCTCTAAGGGGTAACTAGGGGGTGTCTAAGGGGTCTCTAGGGGGTCTCTAGGGGTCTCTTAGGGGGTGTCTAAGGGGGTCTCTTAGGGGGTGTCTAAGGGGGTCTCTAGGGGGTCTCTAAGGGTGTCTAAGGGGGTCTCTAAGGGGGTCTTTAGGGGGTCTCTAGGGGGTCTCTAGGGGGTCTCTAGGGGGTCTCTAGGGGGTCTCTAGGGGGTCTCTAGGGGGTCTCTAGGGGGTCTCTAGGGGGTCTCTAGGGTGTCTTTAGGGGGTCTCTAGGGGTCTCTTAGGGGGTCTCTAGGGGTCTCTAGGGGGTCTCTAAGGGGGTCTCTTACCCCCCCCCCCCCAACTCCTCCTCACCCGCCGGCTCGCAGTCCACTTGGGGTCCGGAGTTGACCGGCCCGACCTCCATCTCCCACGTGCCCACGAGCTCCTCGAAGGAGCAGTTCACGGGCAGGTCCGCCCCGGCCTGCCCGGGCAGCAGCAGCAGCAGCGGCAGCAGCATCAGCAGCAGTAGTGGGGGGGTCCTCGCCATGGCGAACGTGTCCAGCGCAGTAGCCGGGGGGGGGGGTGGGCAGCGAGCGAGGACGGCAGAGACCGAGGAGGCGGCGGTGCAGCTGCCGCTGTGGGGAGACGAAGGCGGCCCTGGCACACAACGCACAGAGCCGGGCTCGGCTCGCCGCGCCTGCACTGGGACAAAGCGAAAGGATCGATTCCTCGTGCTTCGATTCTGACCTTTAAATCTCGGTCGCAACGAATCGATTCCCGTGCGCGTGACAAGAGGCGTTGTCGAGGAGCGGTGGCGCGGTGGTTAGCGCGCTGCGCTGCGAACCTGTCGACGATTATTTGAACCGGTCGTGCGCCTCCCCTAGGTCGACTCAGCCTCAAATGAGTACCCGGTGCGAGCCACAGGGTTGAGATGCGCTCCTGTCGGGGCTTTTATCGCGTTCTGTCCCCGTGCCCCTCCCGGACATCTGTTTAAGACAACTATCGATTTTGATTACGAATGAACGCGACTAATCGATGTTCTCATTCGACGATAACGAATTGATTCCCCCCCCGCTCCCGTTGGAGCGCGTGCGGCGCACAGCTGATCGGCGTCGCGTCACGTGGCCACGGTCGGCCATCTTGCGTAGGGAGAATCCGATGAGCTGTGAAGCTCTTGAGGAAGGAGGTCCAGGAGAGGTCACGGGGTCACGGGGTCACAACTACAAACAACACACACACACTGTGGGAGTGCGAAGTATAGGGAAGGTTAGCAAGTCACTTTAAAATATTTAAAACATCTAACTAAACTATATATTATGTTATCTTAGGTAAAGCGAGGTGGTGGTGGTGAACATGTATTTATAATAATTATAACTAAACATTGCAGCGTCGTTCGTGCAAAAGTTTATCTCACAACCACTGCACAAATAAAACGAGGCAGTGGTGCACAGATTAAACAGCAGCGCCGTCAAAGGCGACGTTTCGGGCAGCGGGCCTCCATCAGAGCACACAGTGCAGAGTGGATTATTATAGAGATGGTTTTCGTTAGTGACAGTGTTTTTAATGAATGCAGAGTTTACGCCATGGGGCCTCACGATAATTACCTTTTAAAACGGTTTCTGATCAGTTTTTAAAATGGCAAATTAAGTTAGCTTCTAGTAACTTGATTTTTTTATATTTGCATACACAGTTAGCTAATAGCTATTATGTAACTACTATTAGCTCTTAGGTAACTTATTAGCTATTAGGTAATTACTGTACTTCATATGCTAACTTAAAATCTGGGAATCAGAAATAACCCATTGTCATCAGGCCCCACGATCCGTATCCACTTCATCTCTCTTGCCTCTGCTTTACTGAAGGGCTCTAAAAAAAACATTGTCCGAAACGTCACCTATTGTATAGATCCCCTTGTGCCAGTGTTATTGACGACTATTCTTAGGTTTCTTTCGGTAAAGTCACGTAGATAAATAATAAAACGATAGAAAGAATAATAAAAATAAAATAATTATTATTTATATTATTATTAATTATACTATTTTTTATTTTTACCTACGTGACTTTACCGAAAAAAAACCTAAGAGTATGAATCCTTGCAGTCACGAAAGCTTCAAATCTAGAATTATTGACGACTGTTTAGTCTTGTGATGACTCCTTCACAGGGGCTCGCTTACAGCACTTGCCCCAACAGTCGGCACAAGGCTACTTGGGAAACTTTGTCTTTGTTGTGCATATATCTAAAGCCACTTGGCACAGTGGGAGCACACGGCTCAGTCAAGCCCTGGGCTCTCTCCTGTGACCTGTCAGCAGCAAGACTTTCACACTTCACGCGGCCTCAAAGTGCACCTCGCCTGGCACAAGTGGCGTGAAGTGGCATCACCACCATGAAGTGGTGAATAGTAGCTGATGGTGAGTGCCACAGAGCGTGGGGACGAGGTGGCCGAGTGGTTAAGGCGATGGACTGCTAATCCATTGTGCTCTGCACGCGTGGGTTCGAATCCCACCTTCGTCGCAAACACTTTTTTTTATTATTGATCCTGAGCTCTCATCATCGCCATGAATACATTCTCACTGAATGTGACTCTTGGCTCCCAGGAGCAGCACTGGCCATGCCAATGTGACCAATGTGGTTTGCAATAATAGAGAGTTTTTGGTTTAGATCGCGAAAATATATAAATGTGTCGTGAAAGCCACCACCACCCGACACAGCCAACTTGTAAGGCTGATGAAGCTAGCCACAAATTTGGCTGTCACCTGATGAAGCTAGTTGTAATTACTGGCGAAACGTCGTACTCAGATTGTAAATGTTGTGACTTGGCTCTCCAACACACCAGTGCGCTGTACTAGTATACTACACTACACTATACACTACACACAACACTACACACTAGTGCTGTACTAGTGACGAATTGGCACGTTATGTTTATGTGACAAGCCTTACTAGTTGGCTGTGTCGGGTGGTGGCGGGTTTAACGACACATTTATATATTTACGCGATCTAACCCAAAAAAAACTGTATTCTGGATTATATTGGTCGCGAAAGCCTCCTGCTGCGTGTTAAAGCAGTGTGGTTGTGTGACTCACAAATGTTGCTGCGTCACGGTTGTCTTGGGATAAATGAAGGCGGGTGAGGCCCTTCATCAACCTGCGTTCCTCCATGGATTTGTGATGGACAAGGCCCCCTCCGAACAGCTCCTTACTGATCAGGGGCGATATGTTTCATCGAAAAACTCCTACGGGATGTGTGCGAGGCACGAAAAAGAAGCGCGCTTCCCCATGCCACCCTTAGGTGGATGTCGTGGTGGAACGGCTGAACAGAACGACAAAGTCCAGGCTCTGCCGGGTTGTAGGTGAGGCCCCACGGGCCTCCACGGGATTGTTCCCCCTTTCCTCTCGTGTCCGCCCATAGAACCCCAGTTGGGTAAAACCAAGTCGGGTTTTTTACAATCGGGTTTAATTGTCTTTTTATATGAAACCAGATCATCTGAGATTGGGAGAAATCCGGTTTAATTGGTTCTAATTGCAGAACCGCACTTCGCCAACTTCTCACCGATGGGCTTCATCCATTCCAAGCTAAGGAACTCACTGGCGCCCACGATTGTGGAGGAGAAGCTCGTGTTCATCACGACCAACCTGCCCGCCGCATTCTACGACTACCCCGGCCCCGAGTACGATAACAGCAGCACCGACGAGGAAGCAGCCTAAGCCTTGGATCAGAGTTTCGTATTCATTAAACCAGGTTTTAATTCCCCGAAATCGGGTTTCATTGTATTAAAGAAAAAACCCGATGCCTGCCGCTGGAAAAATCGGGTTTTTTCCACCCCCGTTGGGTAAAACCCCTACGGGTGTGCCCCACCGACCGTGGCAGGGCCCGGTCTCAATGCGTACGCGCGCAGTCGGGACGTCTCCGTAGGTTTGTTCACCCGTCGCGTCTCAAGCCCTCCCTCCATCATCACACAAGCGCCTCATCTCCATGTCCTGTTCCACCGCCCGGGCTCTAGGGTGTCCGACAAGCCACAGCAGCCGCCCGGAGAAATGTAATCACCTGCGCATGCCCCTGTGCCACCCACAGCACTGAGCCACGGTGCGGACAAGTCACTGCTGGACCCTGCAGCAGACTCCGGTTCGGCAACAAGGAGCCGTGCAGGATGCGTGCGGTGGCGCTAACACTGTTCCTGACGGGCCAGGAGGTGGCTGCACCTCGTTGTTCACACGGTCTTGTTGTTGTTTACCCATTTGTGAGAGTCACTGATCTATTACATAATTGACAAATAGTTCACTTCTTTAGTCCACCGTGGTGTTGAATAGATCAGTACTGATATATTACATAATTGCATATACCTCCACCTCCGCCTCTGATCTCGAATCTTGATGGGGTTCAACAATGATGACGCTATCCTGCACTATTTAAGACCGGGAGCAGGTGGATGGTTTCACTATTCTGGCAAATCGCCCGAAAATGCTGAATGTAATTACCAGCGAGACGTCGGACTAAAATTATAAATGTTATGGATCCGCTCTTCAACACACCGGTGGGCGAAAGTAGTCAACTATTTGTCTTTTGTCAACGTGACACAATTTTTATTGATTGGCCGTGTCGGGTGGTGGAGGGTTGCGACACATTTATAAATAACGTGATCCAACCCAAAAACCTTTATTATGAATAACAAGAGGTTATGGATTCGCAGTTTTTAAAATAATATTTATCACCATTTTTAAAAAGAGTGGTGGAGGCATCATTCCATGATTGCGGTTTTCAATTTCTGTGTAGAGATTTGATCTCGGAGTTTTCACCTTCATACAGCGAAGGGCAGTGTTGACTTGTGCAGTCTGCCATCTGCACTTGACAGCCAGTCCGATTCCTGGGCGAAACATTTTGTGTTTTGCTAAAGAGATCTGCATACAGCTCCTCCACTAATTTTCAAATATCATCTCAATCATGAGCTTTGGTTTTCTCTTCCTGAATTGCCAATCATCAACCTCCTTTTTCCTGCTTTCAAGCTTCCATTGCTTCGTTCATTGTTGTGCAGTGTTCTCAGCGTTCTCTTATTCTTTTCCTCATCATTTTACGGAGATCACAGTGATGTAAACAAAGTAGTTTTCATCCACAAATGATAGAACCAAAAGGAAAACTGGCATCAGAACTATTTACGGCTGTAAGTTGTGTTGATTTGTACACCTCATCACCTGAACATATATTTGATTTGAAAGTTGTATACATTATTTGACAAGTTAATGGTTTCCGCATTTTTTATTGGTATAAAAACATTTAACTTCAGGTTTATAGATTCATTATAAAAAAAACATGTTTTTAGTTAACAAAAGTCCACGTTTCTAGGATATCACACTTTAAAATGATGACCGACATTTTACGTTCCATTTCTGCTCTAATATCATTTCTAGTCATCATAAATCTGCCTGACCCACGACTGTCCCCACCCACCCCGACTGTCCCCACCCACCACAACTGTCCCCACCCACCAATACAGCCGCCATTCGCCACTAAGTGACGGTGACATCACCACGGTACCTATGCCAGGCCAAGTGCACTTTGAGGCCACGTGAAGTGTCGAAGGCTCGCTGACAAGTCTCGGGACAGACCCAACAGGTGCCATGGATTGGCTGACTGAGATGACCGGTAGATGCACTACCAGCTGTGCCCCCTACTGTGCCGACTTGCTGCGTTTTAGCCGCTGGGTGCTCTGCTCATTGTTGTGAGCGTTGCTCCTCTGCCCTCCGTTGTTGCTGGAGGGCGACTGCCTCCAAATTGCCTAGCAGCGTCCTTCACGAGCCTCCTCTATAGAGGCCGATCTTGACACCACTGGTACCAGTCGTCGGCAAGTCTATTCAGCGCTACATCATCACATACCGCATCAGACCATCTCTTCTCCAGCCCATGTCGTGCCCGTTTAGCCCCCTTTATGCGGCCAAATAGAAGGTGACCAGGGGATGGCTCTGACTCCTGGCGACGTAGCTTTACCCGGGCCTGTCCACCATCATGAAGGCCCTTAATGATTGTGAACAGAGAGTCAGGGACTCCGAAAGGATGAACAACTGCTCACAGCCCTGGCATGTTGATGGTATCATAAGCCTTGACCAGGTCAATAAAGCAGAGATGTGCCCACCTACTGTCTCCACCCACCCATATGCAATTCCCCTTGAAGCTGACTGGCTGTGAATTTGTTGTTTGCATAAATGTTATAATCAACCAAAGATTACTTTTGGAAGGGGGGGGGGGGGCTCAAAGCTGCAGACAAAACTCTGTGAGCTGTGGGTGGGAATCTCGGAGACCCCACACGATCTCCCACAGTTTGCTCGCGCAACGCGGATGTTTCTTCACGACATCCTGCAGCGTGACAGACTTCTTCATCTCCGTTGCCTCTCCAAGCAACGTCGCCTCTGTCTCCTGAAACATCGGTGATGACAGTTTCATGCAATGTCCTTTTAAGATCAAGATGTCTGTGCAGCTCATGTCGTTTATACCGCCACACCTCGCCATTCTGCCAGAATTCACAAATGCTACAAAGTATATTTTTTATGATCATTAAGCTTGCTTACCGAGGGAAGTCTCATGAATGTTTTTTTATAGGGGTCTTGCCACGTTTTTCACAGCAGGGGGTTGATGATTGCTATGCTCTGTATATTTTGCGAGTATTTTTTTAAACGTGGCAAATTTGGAGCATGAGGCCAGCGAGTAAGGTCTGCTCCTATGAATGCTGTCACGGGATATGTAACATCCACTGTGACACAGACGGCATGTAGTTGTGTGGTTAACACGCCCAGAGTATCAATCGGAGTGGCCGCCGTCACCCTCTTCAACAAGCGCAAAATGCGCTACCGCGAGGCCATGTCACCGCCTATAGAAACCAAACCTCAAAGCTCCATTTCCTTAGCATCTCATTGTCTGGCTTTAGCTCGTCTCCTTGGTCAGCAACCGCTCTGATTTCCACTTCAATGCCAATTTTGGCAAAGTGCTCTCCTCCATCCTTACACGTGTTCCTGCCATCGTACGATCCTCTTTATGACGATGTCTGCATCGGTTTCCAATTCCCAACTTCCAAATTTAATGCAGACTTTAACAGCCACATGTTTCAACAAACAGCAGCAAGGGTTGCTGAAAGGACACATCCCTTGATCAGGAAAATCCTGCAGAGAGGTCACCTGAAGATGCCGACTCTCTCTCCACAGCCACCTGTGGTGGTGATTCCAGGCTTGAGATATCCCAAGTTCGATTTCCGGCCATACTCATCATCAGCGGCAGGTGATATCAGAACTGGTTCTACCTTTCCTCCTTCCCTCCCCTCAACAACTGACCAGCGCAGTTAAGCATAATTAATACACTGTATATACACTGTATGTCTACACTGTATATATACACTGTATATATAGAAAAGCAAACGTGATGGCCCAAGTGGCATGTGGTAGCCCGCATCCATTTGTGTATTGAGAAATAACGATATTTATTTGAGTGTATTTACACGGTGACAGAAGGTAGAAAGTTACCCCGCGGTGCTCACCTTAGTGATGAGGTTTTGTTGGAGGAGGTGACGTACAAGAAATTTTACATCACTTTGCAGTATATTTATCAGCTTGGGGAGGCATTTCTGCAGAGTATTGCTGAGTTCAGCGTCGCTACGTTGCATGATAAATAAGGGGGAATTGTTCAGAATTTCCATGAAGAAACCTGAAAGGGAGTGACAAGAACAGAGTAAACAAATAGACGACGTGACTACATCCCTTTTATGCCTTCCATATAAAAGTTTAAAGTATTTTGTACACATCACAATAACCACACGACCTTCTGGAAGTGCAACATTTCAGCAGAATTGGTTCACTACAAACAAAGAATGGAAGAAATTTGACAATCAGTGTCTCATCAGCAGAACAACGTCTGTTTGAACCAATGCGATTGAAATGCCGGCTATTTATTGCCAACCACCCTCTCTGTCAAATGTGGGTCCGGGTTTGACACACAAACAATAAAATACATAACACAAAATTACCATTAGCGTCATTATATAACTAAATGAACAAGTAAAAGAAAAGCACGGCATCGTTATCTGCCCCTACAGTGGTTAGGAGAAGCGAGGAGGCGTGCAACGTTAGTTACATTGAGACGATTCGTGGTGACGTGTTGTACACTACATACATTTGTTTCTCATTCTCAACATTCATCGTACAAGTTTTATTTAACACTAGAAAATATTAATCAAATGTTCCATTCAAAACACTTCCTGTTGAATGTTTGGGTTGATGTAGGCTAACATAAAGAAAAAGGAGGGTTGGGTGTTGTATTACGAACTGTGAACCAATCTCGAGTTTTCCCCATTCGCTTTTGAGTTTTCCGATCACGGATTTTCCGTTCGCGGCTATTTTCAAAAACGCAACCCCCCGCGACGGGCCAGGGTTTGCCGTACTTCGTCTGGCGTGAAAGGAGGCCGATGTCACTGAAGGGATGAAATTCGTAAAAAGGCGAGACAGCAGATATATCCTTATATGAGTTATATCCCACTCACCGAGAGAGCGCAGCCACGTGTGTAAGTGGGCGTAGTGGACGTGCACGGCTTGAAGGGCAAACAGGAGCTTCTCGCAGCCTTTGTCCCCTCGGTCGATGAAGTGATTCAGAACATTCAAGGTGCATTCCTCGCTGTTTGTGAACGAAGGCGCTTTGTAAGCTGTCAGGAACCCGTATTTTTTTAACTTGTCCACAAGGTGGCTCGGATTGGAGCTCAGCCATTGCTTAAGTTCAAGTTTCTTCATGCGAATAGCTCTCAGTGACTGTCCTTCCACGATGATTAACTTCACCTTCCTGTCTGTGAGAACAACCGATCGAGCACTTGATTACACCTCCTACGCGAACACAGCATGACATGCCATTGGCTGAACTATACAAGTCTTACCTTGGTGAGGTGGCCGGGTGCCGACAGAGGTCAAGAGCGCTGACCCCAGCACCACTAAGATTACCGGGTTCGAATCCAGGAAGCTGCCTGTGATTAAACCGACTTCTCAAGTGAGTTGATGGATAAAGCCCAGTTACCAATGACTGCACACAACCCGATGGCGTTAAATTTCGTTCTGCACTTAAGTTTGCAAAATCACAGCTGAGAGAGTTACAAATGAAACGCACTGGTTTGACCGTCATGCAATGAACATTGATCTCTGTGGCAGAGGTGATGGGAATGTGCTGCCTCCGACTGTGTAGGCCCGAGGTCACTTGCAGGGATCTCAGAGGTTGCTCTGTGGTGTCCGCTTCACTGGGCCGCTCTGCTCTCTCATGCAAAGTGTTGCACGCCTTGTGAGAGATCCATGGAGAGAATGTGTGATGCCGGTAGCACAATCGGGAAAACATTATGGAAAAATAAAAACGCTTTTAAAGTGGGTACATCTCTCTTACCCGTATCCATCAGCCAATTCCACACATCAGCGTAAGTCTTTCTCACATCAAAAAGAGCCCTCAGCAGGACACGACATTGGTGCTCTCCGCCCATCATGAAATGTGTGAGCACAGCGTCGATGCGTTCTTCAGGAGGCAAGGCTGTGGCTCGTTTGTAGAAGTCACGTGACATCAGATTGTTGCTGTCGAGGTGCTCCAGAAGGTGCTCTGGGTTGACTCTGAGCCAGAGCTTCAAATCCCTCTTCTTGTTTTTCAGTAAAAAGAACGCCGGTCCGTCCTGCTCGGCCTTAACATTTGTAATCAGCATTTCCAACTCCTACATTATGAGTGAACAAAAACACAGAGTCCTTGATGAAAACAGTGAAGTACTCTCACATCGAACTGTGTCTAAGTACATGCACAGCCCTTTAATCAATCCACTGCTCCGAGGGTCTGCCCGTGTCGTGCAGGTCACGGGGGTTATTTGACCATTCTTCACCTTGCAGGTCAGTGTGGGTTGGTGAAGGGGGCGTACCTGTACCGGATCAGAAATCTCCTCCCACTGATGGTAGCTATGGATAATAATGAAGCTCAGGCGACTGGATTGATTGGGCTGTGCACTAACCACAGAGTTTCTGCCAGTCGTATCACAGTTGCCTAAGGACAATTGCAAAGGGATATATACAGTGGCACTGGGTAAAATGCTCGTAATGTTTACACATTTTTACAAAGGCAATCGATACATTGTGACAATGTATCGATCTATGGGAAATCGTTTCTCAATGTTAGTCTATGGGCATTCCGTGTTCCCGTGTAATCCTATTGGCAGTCGTTTCAACCTGAGCCACCGGGATGGTTGGCAATCTGCTTTGGAACAGCTGTGAGCCACCAAACCATCTCATGTGTTCAAAGTAATCATTTAGCCATTTGCAACACTTGGTCAGAACAGTCATTAACTCTGTTCACAGACTTATATTGGCACTCCACATGCATATCGCCTCGTTTTATCATTTTGTTGCAACGTGTTCATCGGATTACAGGCGTAGATAATACAAAATAACATTGAATTGTAACGGATAGTCATAGCTTGTACTCTAGTGGTAGTGCCTTATGCCCAAAACTACAAGCCAGCCTAGCAACCTTCGGGAAGATTGGAGTGATAAATGAAGCTCCTCATGTGAGTCCGTGTTTTGATTCAAAACGTGGCATGGATTAACACGTCGTCATAATAATCGCACTCATTACAGGGACACTCACGTCTGACTGTGGCCGGAACATGGGTAGTTGATCCTTTCGTTCCCATGTTTGTTTTAGATTTTCTGCAAAACATATACATCAATGTTTTATGAAGAAATAAACTCCTTAAAAAAAGTTTTAAGAGGCTTTGGCCTTTCCGACAATAATACAGCACGTGTTAAGATGTCCAGACACCAAATAGACAACAGCTGTCATTCACCACACATGCTCGTGGTAAAACACACAAACAAACATGCGCTGATAACAATGTCACGCATTGTCCTTGAAACTGATTGGCCACACGAGAGACAGCCGCCTCCATGGCCCTGTCTCACCACCGGTGTTAGACCAGAGAACAACCCCACAATGTGAACCGTACAAGGATAATGCAAATACCAAAAAGAGAGCATAGATGTATAATCCAACTACATATTTCTGCTGCCCTCTGACAACCTGTTTGTGCATGGTGGTCTCCCATCCAAGCACTAATATCCAGGTTAATCTCTGCTTAGCTTTTGAGATCTGACGACATCTGGGCGATTTGTACATGACAATACAAATCTCAGAGTGAGCTCTGTGATATCCACTTCTGTCGGCAGTTCTCTAAACGCAAGGGGGTCGCAACTGCTCAGCGAAATATATCAAAATTCATTCTTCATCATATCACATGACGACGATAGCACGATCAGGGAAAAAGGGAAAACATCATGAGCAAGTGACAATGTGCAGTCAGTACTCACTGAAGAACTTCCACATATATCGAGCGATCCAAATCAGCAATAAAATAAGAATGAACACGGCCAAATGTGTCACTGGTTTTACTATCGCACCTGGATAAAGCAGATAAACAACAAACATCAACACAGGTATGCACGTTCTTTGCCTTGTATTAAAACACAACCTCTTCATGAGATTTGTTCTATCGATCATGAAAGCCTACGTGTTAAACCTAAGGTTGGAATTGTGAAACAAGTCAATTGTGTATATCGCCTACTTATCGACAATGTTTCCAAACCACATTTTACGTGTAACGATCAGCTCTAAGTACTGTAATTTTGGTGTTTCTCCAAATGGATTCATATTTGGCAATAACAGTTTTGAGAATTACTCTTGAAATTGAAACGACGACAATATTGATAACCATCGGTACGTTAAACGCGTGTTCACGGCGCCAATAGAATTTGCTTGGCTGTGTCCGGTTGGTGGACGATTCGCGATACAGATTTGGTCAAATCATGCTGTGGTCGAACACATAATCAATGTTGAATCACTTCATTGGCTACAGACGCCCTCGTCAAGCTGTCTCGGTGTGAGGCGACGGTCTCGTTGTGAGTCTGTGGATTTATCCGTCCTCTGTGGGCAGGGGTCGGCGACCGTTGAAAGGTAGAAGATCCATTTTGTGTTTTTGTCTTTGACCAAAATAGTTCGAGAGTCGTATCACACGCAGGGCCACTTGTACACAAACACAGACACACGGCAGCTATACAGCAGATGACTTAAATAAACAAAATAGCTGATGGAATAAACTGCGTCTATTTCGTGTGTTCCCTCTTTAGTTATTCTTTCACAAAACACGTTTGACTGGTGTAATCATGTCGTCACCAAGACATTCCATAGTGACCCATTCCCTTTCATATTGAACAAATTGATTATTATCGTTGTGTTAAATAAGGTTAAGATTCAAGTAAAAAAAACGGCTTCCAGCAAGCGGGGAAGCCAAAGAGCCACCGCACGTGGCTCTGGAGCTGCAGGTTGCTGCCCCCTGGTTCCAGAGCCAGGGGGCACGAGGGGAAGGGTCACCAGGGGAAGAGTCACCAGGGGAAGGGTCACCAGGGGGTCACCAGGGGGTAATCACGGAAAGGGTCACCAGGGGAAGGGTCACCAGGGGGTCACCAGGGGGACACCAGGGGGTCACCAGGGAAAGGGTCACCAGGGGAAGGGTCACCATGCGTGTCCGTACCTGGCTCGGTCATCGAACAAGTTCTGGTCTCTGGATTCCACTGAAGGCCCTCTTTGCACCGGCACTGGGTATTCGATGCGATAGTGCATGGAGTCTTAATGGTTTCGTCTGTATGGAAAGCAGCATGCGTAAATCATAAATGCAACGTTTAGTTTATGTTGTGATCAGATGAAGTTTGCTGGAAGCAACGACAACTCCTCCATGTGTTGCACTGCTCAGATCTACTGCCACAATGATATGGATGTGGACTCTGGTAACTGCTTATGCCACGTGATGCGTTGCCATTACATGGAGACAGAAAACCATGCCACATCCTGTAACCCGCACTTCCTATTAGCATACGTACTGTGCAGAAGAAGTTCAACATACATACATTATTTTTCTTGATATTTTATTATAAACTGTATTCCCCAACTACAATCCAGATAATACCATTGTCTTCAGTAGACTTCAAGAATAATAGACAATTCTCATCTTTAATGTGAATATACCAACTTCGAATGGTGGCCCATGCAGTTCCAATCTTCTTTAGTTTATCCAGAAGAAAACTGTTATGGGCTGTGATGACGTATTCGCATGTGTGTTGAACTTCTTTTGCACCGTACGCAGCCAACCGTGCTAATCGGAGGTGCGGGGGAAGGACAACAAACTAAACACAAAAATAAGTTCTAATAAAAGTTAGTTTGTCGTTCTAGACGATGATGATTTAAAAGTGTACAGCTCCAGAGGCTTCCTAATATCAGAAGGAAGAGCGTTCCAGACGGCCGCAAAAGCACGTACGAAAGTGCACGATGTGGTGACTGCCGTCTTTGATTGATGGCCAGCCAAGAGCCGCTGCTGCGAGTATGACCAGAGTTGCGTGATGGTACACGCGTGATGGTATAACTGCAGTCGTAATGCGTAACTCCTAAGGCATGGTGAAGGCGGTATTTTGAGGAGGCGCCACATCAATGGCGATGTTTTAAATGCACCGAGCGTCGAGATGCTTCTGCATCTCAAGCCGCCGTGAATGGCGATTCCGTAGACCTCTCAGATCTTCGGGGATGGCTGGATTTGAGAGCATTCAGTCAGCTGAATGTTCTCGGTGATGGTTACAGTCGGCCGCCCCACACTGCGGTGCAATAGCCATGCCAATACTGCCTCTATCGATCACGATGTCTTTACCTTTTCCACATTTCTTACACGGGTTACAGGATGTGGCGTGGTTTTCTGTCTCCATGTAGAGGCCCTCGGGACACAACAAACAGAAAGCATCCTTTCCATTCTCTGTGCAGTCCACTGCCTTGTAAGTTCCTGCAATAAAAAAAGGCATTTGTCATACTGATGAGATGCCAAATCATGCGAAAGCGCTTCAGTTATTGTGTGATTGGCTAAGCCGTGCTCAATTGTGGAGTTGGCTACAGTTCACCGAAGGTCGGCAGTGATCCATGAGTCAATAACAATGCTGTCTCAATTGGCCCAGTGCTTGCTTGTGTTGATCCAATGCCCCTGAAATTATGCACTCCCAGAAGGCCGTGTGGCAGATGAGGTGTGTCAAAAATACTTTAATCTTGGCGGTGTCGGGTCAGTTATGGGAACGAGGTATTTTGGCCGCTTATTTATTTTAGTTTGTTCTCCCCAGTGACGCTGCTGAGTATATTGTGCTGTCGAGTGAAGTTTGATGGTGGTAAACGTGGCTTGTTTTGTTCCGGTTTTGAAGTGAATACTGTACACACGACCGACGCCCCATCTCGCGAGATCTCAGAAGCTAACTGAGGGTTTGCAGCCGCATTACTGCATCATTCCGCGTGCTGTATCACTGCACCGCTCAGCCGCGCAGCTCCAGAAAGTAGTTCGTCGTCGACCGCTCAGAAACTACGTTATAACGAGAAGCGTTATAACGGCGTGTGTTCCGCGTTGTGCGAAAAGTGTTGTCGTGCGAACACCGCCACGCGTTAAGCGATGACTCGCCGTGTAGTGATTGGATGCTGAGAGTGACAGAGGAGTTGCATGGAGTGGAAGATGGTGGTCAAAATATAAATTACCTGAGACATGCCGATGGCATTGCATTAGTTGCAGAATCTGAGAGCGATTTGCAAAATACGCCGGGTAAAAATGATGTTAGGAAGTTAAAGAAAAGATGAACAATCCACTGTATATATACACACACACAGGGTGTTTGTTCATACCAGTGAAGAGGTTCAAGCTGCAATGTCAAACACAAGTCTGTGACGTAGACAACCAGCAGGTGGTGTGGGAGCCAATTAACTCTTTAGGAAGCGTGGTAACAGTAGCCGCAAGGCGCGTCACAGCGATAAAGAGAAGAATAGAAAATGGCATCTCTATAAAAAAGTATATTATTATTCACAACGAGAATTAGAATACTTCAGTGCTAGATAGGAAGTCTGATCTCCTGTGTGGATGTGAAAGCTGTGAGTCTATGGGTGTCCGTGTGAGTCTGTGGGTCTCTATACGAGTCTGTGTCTCTATATTAGTCTGTGGGTATCTATGTGAGTCTGTAGGTCTCTATGTGAGTCTGTGTCTCTATATTAGTCTGTGGGTATCTATGCGAGTCTGTGGGTCTCTATGTGAGTCTGTGTCTCTATATTAGTCTGTGGGTATCTATGCGAGTCTGTGGGTCTATATGTGAGTCTGTAGGTCTATATGTGAGTCTGTAGGTCTCTCTGTGAGTCTGTGGGTCTCTATGTGAATCTGTAGGTCTCTCTGTGAGTCTGTGGGTCTCTATGTGAGTCTGTGGGTATCTCTGTGAGTCTGTGGGTCTCTATGTGAGTCTGTGGGTATCTCTGTGAGGCTGTGGGTCTCTATGTGAGTCTGTGGGTATCTCTGTGAGTCTGTGTGTCTCAGAGCTGAATGGCAGGAGGCTGTGATTACCAACTCTTTGAGAGAGAACGTGACTCACATAGAGAGAGAAGCCGCACGACCGGTTTGTTTTGTTGCTGATGTTGTTGTTTAACAACCCAAACACGACCTTATCAATGTTGTGGCTTGGCTCTCCAACACAATCGGTTGTGCTGTACTAGTGACGAATTGGCACGTTCTGTTTACGTGACAACCCTTACTTATTGGCTGTGTCGGGTGGTGACAGGTTTAACGACACCACATTTATGCGATCTAACCCAAACCGACCTTTATGAACCCTAACATGGTACAATGTACGATTGATTTACCGGCGCGGCATAGCTTGCAACAGATGTTGTTACTCGTTTTGTAGAATTCTGCACTGCAGGCTTGACAAGACACCAGCCTGGTGAAGAATACAATCTGGAAAGAAAAACAAAAACGTCACAAAACAGTCACGGCTCAATGTGTACAGGGCATGGGCATTTCAAACATCCGTTGTGAGTGAACAGCGCGTGTGGGACAATTGCTCCAGTCACAACGCCGTGACGCTTTGAGCAGTGGCACCCAACCACTGCGACACCTGGGTGGCGACAGCGGAATCACCGTGGGGGGGGCAACAGCAACGAGTCCCGAGAAGTGTAGAGGGACGATGACTTCACGGACTCACTCGACATCTTTACGGCGCCTACAGACCAAATGGTCAAAAACGTTGCGAAGGTGCAGCCCCGCAACTGCCTCGCTCACACCACCGCCGGAGGAAGGGCCTCCAAGAGGCCCTCTACAGAGGAGAGTTGGCCTACTCTTCCACGCTCTTCAGACGCATTGAAGAGGTGGAGGCGCCCACACTTTAACTCACCGCACGCGACCAACCGATCGATTTCGATGACGTCATTCATTCCGGCATCTGTGGGAAAGCGCTTCGCAGCTCATCGGATTCCTCCGGGACACAAACACAGGAGGTGGGGGGGGCAGCACGGGCAGCAGGGGCAGCAAGGGGCGTGCGAGTCGGGACCGGGCGGGCGGGCGGGGTGGGGGTTTGGTGGCGGCGGTTGCAGTCGCAAAGGTCGAGGAGAGTTTAACGACAAATTTGAATTGTGGGTGGAGTAGTGGTGCAGTGGTTAGCGCACTGAACTCTGTGTGCACCCTGTGGGCTGGGTGCACGCAGTGGCGGTTGCGGGCTCCCTGCTGTATCGATCGGTCAACCTGCACGGACCTGGGGAGACGATGATCGATCGAGCCCCGCCGACACCGCGCGGGGTGACTCAGAATTTGTTTGTCCTGGAGGAATCCGATGAGCTATGAAGCTCTTTATCACCGATGTCCAATGAGGGTTTGTCAGAAAGTTACAACAACAACGATACAAAAACACGGCAGGAGCGCGAGGTATAAGGAAGTTGTGCACATCACTGAAACTAAATACTCACTAAACAAAGTGAGTACAAATCGCAATCGTAAATGAATTCCTGCCGATGTTTCAAGACTAAATGCGAGTGGGCAAGGCAGCAAAACAACAACAACAACAGTCCCAGACCACACCAAGACAACAACAGTCCCACCAACTCACCCACCCGCTGACTCACCCACTCACCCACCCGCTGACTCACCCACTCACCCACCCATTCACCCACTCACTCACTCACCCATCCACCCACCCACTCACCCACCCGCTCACCCACCCGCTGACTCACCCACTCACCCACCCACTGACCCACCCATTCATCCACCCACTCACTCACCCATCCACCCACTCACCCACCCACCCATTCATCCACCCACTCATCCACCCACCCACTCACCCACCCACTCACACACCCACTCATCCACCCACCCACTCATCCACCCACTCATCCACCCACTCACTCACCCACCCACTCACCCACCCACTCACTCACCCATACACCCACCCGCTCACCCACCCGCTCACCCACCCACTCACCCACCCATTCATCCACCCACTCACTCACCCAGTCACCCACCCACTCATCCACCCACGCACCCACTCATCCACTCATCCACCCACTCACTCATCCACTTACTCACCCACCCATTCATCCACCCACTCACTCACCCAGTCACCCACCCACTCACCCACCTACTCATCCACCCACGCACCCACTCATCCACTCATCCACCCACTCACTCATCCACTTACTCACCCACCCAATCACCCACCTACTCACCCACTCACTCACCCACCCACTGTGCGTGTGTCTGCGTGTCTGTGCGTGTCTATGTCTGTGCTTGTGTCTGTGTGTCTGTGCGTGTGTCTGTGTGTGTCTGTGCGTGTGTGTGTGTCTGTGTGTGTCTGTGTATGTCTATATCTGTGTCTGTGTGTGTCTGTGTGTGTGTCTGTGTGTGTGCCTGTGTCTGTGTGTGTCTGTGCGTGTCTGTGTGTGTCTATGTCTGTGTGTGTGTGTGTCTGTGTGTGTCTGTGTGTGTGTCTGTGTGTGTGTGTCTGTGTGTGTGTGTGTGTGTCTATGTCTGTGTGTGTGTCTGTGTCTGTGTGTGTCTGTGTCTGTGCGTGTGTGTGTGTCTGTGTGTGTGTCTGTGTGTGTCTGTGTGTGTGTCTGTGTGTGTCTGTGTGTGTGTCTGTGTGTGTGTGTCTGTGCGTGTGTCTGTGTGTGTGTCTGTGTGTGTCTATGTGTCTGTGTGTGTCTGTGTGTGTGTCTGTGCGTGTGTCTGTGTGTGTGTCTATGTATGTGTGTGTGTCTGTGTGTGTGTCTGTGTGTGTGTCTGTGTGTGTGTGTGTCTGTGTATGTCTGTGCGTGTGTCTGTGTGTGTGTGTCTGTGTGTGTGTCTGTGTGTGTGTGTCTGTGTGTGTCTGTGTGTGTGTCTGTGTGTGTGTGTCTGTGTGTGTGTGTCTGTGTGTCTGTGTGTGTCTGTGTGTGTCTGTGTGTCTGTGTGTGTGTATCTGTGTGTGTCTGTGTGTGTGTGTCTGTGTGTGTGTCTGTGTGTCTGTGTGTGTGTCTGTGTGTCTGTGTGTGTCTGTGTGTGTGTGTCTGTGTGTGTGTCTGTGTGTCTGTGTGTGTGTCTGTGTGTGTGTGTCTGTGTGTGTCTGTGTGTGTGTCTGTGTGTGTGTCTGTGTATGTCTGTGTGTGTGTGTCTGTGTGTCTGTGTGTGTGTCTATGTCTGTGTGTGTCTCCCTCTTCAGCTCAGGAGTCCGGCAGAGCAGCTGCGACATTCTCATCTCCGCTTCTCGCGCGGCCGGCTCCGTACGGCGCGAACAAAGTCCGACACACATCGCACATTTATACAACTCGCGCCGACGTCTCGAGAGCGCCGAGCGCGAGACGACGAGGTGACGAGTGCGACGAGGTTGAGCCTTGGAGGCGACTCACCCCGAGGGCGAGCGAGACGACGGCTCTCCTCCTCGCCCAGGCTCCTCCCTGCATCGCGCGGGCCGCGAGTCGCCTGCCTCGGTGACCCCCACGGCCGCATCGGTGACCCTACAACACTCGTGGCTTGTGAAGCAGCAGCAGCAGAGATATGTGTGTGAGTGTAGGATGAAGCAGCAGCAGAGATCTGTGTGTGAGTGTGTGTAGGATGTTGTTCTCGTGTTCACGCCGTGGAGTGGCTAATCACGTTACCACTGGCGGCGGAGTCGTCGTCGTCGTGCTGGGCGGAAGGGCAACGAAACGAAAGAGGAACCAACGCGGCGGACTCTGACACCCGAAAGAGCCAAAAGAGTCGAGGGACAAAGCGCCGCTCAGGCCGGGGGGGGGGGGGGGCAACCCCTCCAGCAATGCAGAATGATAGAGGAGTTGTTAGTGAGTAAGGAGTTGTTAGTAAGGAGTTGTTAGTGAGTAAGGAGTTGTTAGTAAGTAAGGAGTTGTTAGTGAGTAAGGAGTTGTTAGTAAGGAATTGTAAGTAAGGAGTTGTTAGTAAGTAAGGAGTTGTTAGTGAGCAAAGAGTTGTTAGTAAGCAAAGAGTTGTTAGTAAGTAAGGAGTTGTTAGTAAGTAAGGAGTTGTTAGTAAGGAGTTGTTAGTGAGTAAGGAGTTGTTAGTAAGGAGTTGTTAGTGAGCAAAGAGTTGTTAGTAAGTAAGGAGTTGTTAGTAAGGAGTTGTTAGTGAGTAAGGAATTATTAGTAAGGAGTTGTTCACAAGTAAGGACGCGTCCCTTGCTTTTTATTCGAACCGCGTCGTGTGATCGGCATCGCGCTCGCTGAAGCTGTGTGATGCCTTCAGGGAAGTCGTGCACTGTAGACGCAACTGCGCACAATTCCGTGAGTCACTTATAACCGCTTTGCCGTTACTTATTGCCAATTATGGACTCAAGACTGTTGTCCTATCATCTCACAGAGTCCCGGGCACGTAATAATATGCTACACAGTGGCAGTGGGGTTCGCAAAATGCCGATGTATTACTAATAACCCCCAATGATCCGATCGAAATTAGGGATTTCGATCAGATCATTGGGGGGGGCACACACCCACCCGCAGGTTCCACAAATGTATCATATTGTATTGCCATGGTCTTTGTGCTTTTCTGTGCTGACAGGACGACTCGAGATCGCTTCCAGCGTGCTTATTTAGACGCTCGGCATAGCAGCACCGCTACGGTTGTTGTCGCATCGTGACAACAATCTACGGCTCACACTTCTCATGAGAAGCTGTCGGTCACGCGGTCACGATGCCTCGCAAGAGGCGTCGTGTTGCCGTTCGAACTCCTTGACGCACGCCCGTACTTTATACGCCGTTCAATATATTGATGCTACAGTGATCCCTCGTTTATCGCGGTTAATGGGGACCGGAACCCCTCGCGATAGGTGAAAATCCGCGAAGTAGGATTGGCCCCCTAGGAATTTCCGTATATGTGTGTGTGGGTACCAGAATGTTTAAAATGTGTATATTTATACTTTATATATATATTTTACTTAAATCTATTTAATTATAAAACCTTAATATTATACATTCACTCTCTCTCATACGATACGTATTATGGTGTTCTACACTCACCAATGACAGTAGTATCTTGAGACTTGACTCCAGTAATGACGACGACGACGATGACAATGACGACGATGACAGACCTGTGCAGTTCGATGAATGTGATGATGAATGATGATGATGATGGTGTTACTGCACAGGTATAATGAGGCCTTTAAATCAGTTCGAAAAATCCGCGATGCACTGAGGCCGCGAAACTTGAACCGCGAAGTGGCGAGGGATTACTGTACTTGCACTGGCGAAAGGATCCCACAGTTATCGCTGCTGAACCCGAGCAATTATTTGGTGTTCGCATTTGTATGTAAGGCGATCCTCGACTTACGAACGCCCGTACTTACGAACAAGCTTCCATGAGATATTAATAAAACGTTTTAACTTTAGACGCGAACTCGCAATTGCAAACTGAACTGCGGAACTATTTTGTTCAAAGGAGCGATCCCTCCGCGAGGTGTAGTGAGTCGGCCTCGCGCTGCAGGTGATGAATCCTTGATGTCTGTGGGCAGCGGTAGTGTAGCGGTTAGCGCTGGGGGTGAGTCTTTGTGTGTGTGTCCGTGTGTGTGTCTTTGTGTGTGTATGTCCGTGTGTGTGTCTGTGTGTGTCTTTGTGTGTGCAATTGTGGTGATGCATTGCCTCCTTGCGACTACAAGCGAGCATCAGGACTCAAGGTTCGCCAAAATAAAAGTTTCGTTTCTATATATGTTCCTTCATTTCATGTTTTATTTACGATGCAATATTTTTTACAGCGTTAGATGGAAATGTACAATATTTCTTCTTATGAGTTTAACAACGCTTCACTTTTTTAACTGTAACACATTTCATAACACTGACCAAATGGGCATTTAAATACAGCGCATTATTGTGTTCCAACTTACGAACCGTTCTACTTGCGAATGGGTCTCAGGAACGAATCAGGTCCGTAACCTGAGAACTGTCCGTATGTATAACGTCTTTCGCACCGTACATAGCCAACCGTGCTAATGGGAGGTTCGGGGGAAAGACAACAAACTAAACACAAAAAATAAGTTCTAAAGAAATTAGTTTTCAATCTGGATGTTAAAGTGCACACAGCTGCAGTGGCTTCCCAATATTCCAGACGTCGGGAGAAGCGCTCCTGACCACCGCCTCCGCTCCACGTGGGCTGGGGACTGCTGCCTCAGAGCAGAGTGCGCGTTCACCTCCACCTGCACGCCGGCCAGACGTCTTGGAAGGGTTGGAAGAACCAACAGGTCACCCTGCCAGGCCCACCGCATGCGACCTGCTGCTGTTGCTCACATCGACTGCGGTGTAGGCCATGAACACCGCTGGGCGGACACGGCCTCTGGGTTGCGAGAGGCTCGCACCGACGTTGACCTCTGGCGCGAGGTCAACCCGCGACCTCCGCGCTGCAAGTTCGTGTCCGTGCGGTGCGTGCCGAGCTGCGTTGGCTTTCGGTTGCCGAACGAATCCATGGAAGGTCGCACTCACTACACACAAAGCGCTTGTCGCAAATAAACCACCATCCCTCGCTGATCTCGTCAAGGAGTATAAACCAACATCGTCCGCATCTGACAGCGCTGCTCCTGCGGCCGTCTGGAACACTCTTCCTTCCGATATTAGGAAGCCGCTGCATCTGTGTACTTTGAAATCATCTACATTGACAAACTCATTTCTTTAGAACTGCTTTTTGTGTGAAGTTTGTTGTCCTTCCACCGCACCTCCGCTTGGCACGGTTGGCTACGTACGGTGCGAAAGAAGTTCATACAGTACATACAATGACACCCACTGTAGCTTGCCCGTGAGACTACTACAGACCACTTGATGGTCAGAGTAGAATCTGTGGTTCGTCACGACTCACTGGAGTTGCGATGTAGCGGTTATCGCTCAGCGTTCAGAACCCGGCCAACCCGAGTTCGATTCCCCGACCACGGGGAGGATCGGTGGGCGAGCGGAATCTGAGCAGGTCACGGGCCCCACCCCTTCAGCAACCAGCACGGACCAACGTGGCGAAGTTTGGTCTGACACAGGGGTGGGGAACCTTTTTTCTGCCAAGAGCCATTTTGATATTTATAACATCATTTGCGGGCCATACAAAATTATCAACATAAAAATTCGCCTGTTATATTTGGTCAAACATTTAATTAACCCGCCCCTAATTTGTGACGGCTGGAACTGCTTCTCTTTGGTGAGGCGTGTGATGTTAGATGGTATTGATGATGTTGCTACTCGCAACTGCTTTTCCAAGTTTGCTCCTAGATTTATTGAATTTCGAGTCCCGCCTGCGGTTGCCTTGCATGGCCAGACGAAATGATTTCGTGGGCCTTGTACGGCCCGCGGGCCGGACGTTCCCCACCCCTGAACACCTCCAATGATCCAAACGGTGTTGGAGACCCCCAGCAGTGGACTGAAAAAAGTCTGTAGTCAAAAAATGTGTAACAGTGACCCGCAGTGATTGTGTCGAGAAATCCATTCAAACGAGGGGACTTTGGAGTTGAAAACAACTGACAATCGCACTCACAACAAAGCGTGACAAGGGTAGGGGTATTGCCGTCACCTTGTGAAACCGGTACGAAGGCTTTATACGGAGCGAACTTATCAGCAGAGGCCGAACTGCCCTCTTCGCCGAAACCCGGGAATGTGCCCGGTCTCGTTGGACGGCGTCCGGGGGGGGGGGGGGGGGGGGGGGGGGGGCAGCTGAGTCGTCTAAAGAAGTCGCGCGCGGTTCACTGCCGTGCCCCGACATGCAGCCAGGAGGAGCTACAGGGCCCCGAAGGCCACGTGGGCAGCAGAGAGGGCAGCTCGTCACAACCCAGTGTTGTACGGTACTTTCTGTGCTCTCGCACGTTTCCCCTGACCCACGCTGACCAGCGCGGGGAAGTATGTACGGTCTGCAGGGCCCCGCAAGCCACGCGGTGCGGGGGGTTCCTTCGTCCAGCAGTGATGGCGCAGAGTTTATTACTTCGTGGGTATCGGCAGGGGCGGTTTCTTCATTAGGGCGATTGGACGACGCACCACCAATGTCATTGAACCACAGAGTCACGCTAGCCGTCACTGTCAGCCTCTCGATATAGTCCAATCAGCGTCATGTCACGTTCTGTGGAGTACCGCCTCTTTTTGGGCGATTTCACTCCGGCTGAGAATCGCCCCGAGTGGCCCCATAGACTTACATTCAAAGATGTTTTTTTTCGAACGGGGGCGCTCCCATGCATTCTCTATGGCTTCCGGGAGGGCGAGCCCTAACGTGCTTACGTCATCATACGTGCTTACGTCATCATACGTGCTAACGTCATCCTACGTAAGCACGTTTCATCCAACAATATAATTTATCGCTACCTAGTGGAATCCTTAATAAAATAAACTTGAGTGGTTTGTTTTAATAGTGAGTATAGAAACAAACAAGATGTATTGTAAGAGTCACTTTATTTTTCATTAATATTAAAGAAGTGAAGTTGCCTTTACATGCTTAAGCTGTTAATTTATCCATGGCATGGGTGGACCTTATCCTTATCAATCATCCAGACATTTGCCCCCCCTGAGAGATTTTGCAGGAGCCGCCACTGGGTATCGGTACCTGCTGCCTCGCGTGTTTACAGGAATAGGGAACTTGTCGAAACAATCCACCCAGCTAAATAAACAATGGAAAAATCCACCCAGCTCCCACGTGCCAGCTCATTTCATCGCTCCATCTCCACTGGGGTCTCACTGGGGCGAGTTCCTTTGGCCGCCACTCTTGTCGCTCGTCTCGAGCGCACGATCCCCTCTATAGGTCGTGTCCTGTCCAAGCCCCCAGTACGATGTCTTAGCTGGTCACTGCTCCCTCATCCATGCTGATTTTCCTCTCCTTCTAGCTTCTGATTTTCTTCGTCACTGTCCACGTTCATGATATACGTCATAGCAGGTGATATGCACTTACCACTTTAATTAGGCACACTGTTATACTGATTTGAATGCACATTGATCCCAACGCAACTTCAGCACCTGCCCTTGGGAATGTATTTTCTGCTGTTTTCCAGTTGTATTCCAGTATCTGTCAGTGACACCGGGGTGATGGGGGATTGTTGTCTTTGGCGTGTGCCCGAGAAGTCTTCTTGACGGTGCGTGAAGAGCCTGGCAGCAGCGAGCAGGAACAACAGGTGAACACTGGGATTGTGGGAAGTTTATTAAAGTACAAAAATACAAAGAAGCACACACAGCTGAATAATTATATAAATGCGTCGACGTGGAGATTCAAAGCAGGTGAAAACCACGCGACTATAAATAACCTTACTGAGTACCCATTGTGGATGGATCGTGGCTCACAGCACCACTGGACACCACTGAAGAGAGTGAAGCGCGCCACGGCGTGCCGGGCGTGCCACCTCTGGTCGTTGTTGTCCCCCACGCGTTGGAGGAGGAGGCCGTCACGTGGCTCTGTGGCCACGTGGGCTGACGTCCACTGACAAGAACGTCGACATAATACGGACTTAATGCTTGTTTCCTTGTGTATCTGTTGCTCTAACCGTGTGGAAGTCACGTGTAACAGCATTCGCGAAATAAACAATCGATTAGTAATATTATATATATATAAAAGGGAAATTTGTGATTATGTGTCTGTTCAAAATGTTTAGCGTACTTCCCGGCATGCAACAAACTTGAAATTTGCCATGTGGGTACTTTCCAGAATGTACACCATGCAAAAATTATAAAAAGACTTTTGTATTTTTTTTGGATATATTTTGCACGCCAAGTGAGCGGTGACGTCACATCTGTGATGTCACCCGCATGTGGCAGCGTCACGCAGTATGCCTACTGACGTCACGCCCCCCCCAACCCTCCGCGTAGGCCGTGCATTAATCCAAGACAAGAATTCCATTCCCGGTTGAAGCCGGGTAGTAAAGCTAGTCAATTATATAACTCACAATGTGGCACATTTTTATTGTTTTTCTTTTTCCCTCGATGTTATCCCAATTGTGCTCACATTGCCAAGTGACGAACACAAATTATCTATCTTCTTGGTTCTTTCGGTAAAGTCACGTAGAAGGGAGATAATAAAATAATAAAAAATAAAACATAATAAAATAATACAATTCTTACGACGTTTCGGCCACAACGCAAGCAGCCGTCCTCAGGTGAAGAACAGGTCTGTCGGAAAGAGCGTCTGAATGAGCACCAGATACACAGACGCTGTCTTTCCGACAGACCTGTTCTTCACCTGAGGACGGCTGCTTGCGTTGTGGCCGAAACGTCGTGAGAATTGTATTTTATAAAGTTTTATTATTTTATTATCTCCCTTCTACGTGACTTTACTGAAAGAAACAAGAAGATGAATCCCTGCAGTCACGAAAGCTTTAAATTGAACACAAATGATCTAGTCTGATCTCTCACACCAGAGTGCGACGTGTTGTGTTCGTGAATGGCGCAAAGAAGCCGATACCACAGAGCCACCTCCGAGATCGCTTCAAGTGACCTGGGTCTACACAGAATGGGATACTGCTTTCTCATCTGCCCTGCCAGATGAGAGTAATGTTCACTGCATGACCGTCAACTCTCTTTACAAATTTCAGAGCTGGAATGTTCCCAAATTAAGTGCATAATGAAATTTGGTGTAATGTTTTTTTTTCATGGGCAGTTGTTGGTGACCGAGCTGAGACCATCACATCAGTAAACCTGAGCAGTCAGATTCATCACAGGGGCACCGATATTCTCAGCACCACGGCCACTTATGCACCAATATTTTCAGAGTACAGTCTGCTCTCCTATAACGCGGTAGTGGTTGCGTTCCTGACGAACACCGCGTAATGGGAAAATCGCGTTTCATAAATAAAGCGGTCGGCGATAACACGTGAGATGCGTATGCAGGCTGAACAATCACCGAGGCGTGGGTAGCATCTAGAAGCATCCAGCAGCATCCCAATGCCTCGTGTGGCGATGACGCTACGCCGAGGCAGCCGTACAACCGCTTATTCCTACTCGCGCTACGTGGTTCTGTTCACGCAAATTGTGTTCTATACAATTTGCATTATGAAAACGCAGCGTTACAGGAGAACAAACTGTACAACAAAGTTCTATAGAGGAAATATGCACCGATAAACCTAACTTAAAACACGTAATAGATAAAGAACATACGATATATTTAGGAAAGATTCCACTATACAGTAACTTTTTAAGACAATGTACATGGAACATATCACCCATTAACTAACATTAAGAATTTAAAACACAATGACCGCAGGCTTTAGTGATGAAACAGATGGTATCAGGCACACCAGATACCATCGCTTCATTTAACTCAAGTTGGGAGCTCAGAAACATAACCCAGGACTCTGACGCTCAGCATGGTGCTACTCACAGATCATCATCGTGGTAGATGATGTGGACATGAAGCCTATCCAGTAGGCCTGGCTAGGGGAAATGGCTCGTGACACCCGCAGGAACGTTTGAAACCACGGCCCCATCGATGGCTTAGCGACTGCTAGGACTACTATATGAGTGCCGCTGCCTTAATATAATATTCAGATAGATGCACTGTGACACAATTTGGGAGAGAGACCCATCCATAGCACTCGAACCCAGAGCATTCAATATGCAGTGCCTTCATGCACCTGCATCCCAAGGCACTGTACAGAAACAGCTGTTTATTTGATAGGCAGCTATCGGATGTGGAAACAAAGCAGTGTTGGGTCTGGACCTGAGCAGGGGCAGGCAGTGGCGTGTGCGGGCTGGGGGAAGGCAGTTCCAGACCTTGGGGGCAGCAGAGGATAAAGAGCGACCTCCCACTGAACAAAGGTTGACTGGTGGCTTTGACAGAATGGAAGTCTCAGCTGCTAGGATGTAGAATGCACATAAGGGAGTGAGGTCAGATGAGACAGAAGAGGTGGGAGAGTGCGTAGAGTGGAGTAGAGAGAGAGGTGGGAGAGTGCGTGGAGTGGAGTAGAGAGATACCCTGGGCAACGTTGGCATGGAGGATCTTGAAGACTGCAATTTAGATATTTAAATCGATTCGGGATTCGATTTTGAGCTTATAATTCTCGCAGCGGCATTTTAGATCAAATACGGGACCGATTCAGCCAAGGCTGGGCATTTGGATACTGATCTGGCAGATCCTTCAAGGCAGACACCAGTGCCCGACAGAACTCCTCCTCATGATCAATGACAAAGTCAATGAGATCAGAGGATGATGGGAAGCCATCAGGGATTTGTTGCATCATCGTGGAGTTCTGCCTCTTCATATGCTCCACGAGGGGTTGAGTCTCCACACCGATCCAGTGCTTGAGGTCAGGTTTCGCTCTGCGAACCTTCTTGCGGAAGATTCCCTCGAACGTTGGAATCAGCCGCTTGACGTCTGTGGGATTTAGGTTGGTGAGAAGAGTGAATGCACAACGCAGACATCGTCAATCGTGGTACGGTTCCAGATGGAGTCAATCAAAGCTTAAGACAAAAGTTCCATATGGACCGCATTGGTCAAATGGGAATGCTCCACCTGTTTGTACATCATCCCGAGGTGTGGTCGTGGTCAGATGCTTCATAAATCCAAATTGTGGTGCATTAAGTTCATTTCACAAACTCGTAATTGAACACACATGATTACTTTCATGCATCTAGGCTGACAGCTCTCGACACATAAGGGAGTACTGTGTGTTTGTTGCACGACATTATTTTACAGGAGGTATATTCTTGTCTCGCATGCGCAGTGCCTAATATAAAAACTACAATTCATAATTGACTGAGTTGGGCCACGTAATGATCTGACCAATTATGTACGTACGTTGAACTTCTTTAACACCGTACGTAGCCAACCGTGCTAATCGGAGCTGCAGGGAAAAGACAAATTGTTTCATGTGACCGCACGATGCCCACATAGACATTCTCCATCAGTGGCCAAGGATTTGGTAGCCAGGGTCTCGTGGAAAGCGTCATGCAGTTGTCCAGCTACACAGGGAGGCTGTCGGAGGTTGACACCGCAGGTGTTAAAACAGCGGTGTTTGTGATGCGTGTAGGGGTCGGCACGGTTTGAACCGACTCAAACTGGTTTCAAATTGAGCAAACCAAACCAAACCAGCGACGACTGAACCAAACCAAACCAAAACCAAACCAAACTAAGCTAAACCAAACCTCTTGAGTTGGCTTGAACCGAAAAGATGCGCGGCAAACAATATTCGCATTCAATACAAATATCAAGTGTATTAATCGCTAATTTCTACGCAGGCTTTCTTCATATTGAGATTCACCAGCAAGTACTGGACGACGATGTCGTCCACAGCCATCTCCTCAAGCTTGGCACGCCCAATGTCCTTGAACGCAGTGTGGTAGTTCAATGGCAGTGAAACCCCAACACTAGGCAACATCCGCGCCCACGAGCGCACACACATCTCGGCCTTGAACGTGCACTTGTGCAGGTTTGGTTGGTCGAGAAAGGAGCGCTTGGCGGCCGAGTTTGCTCTCTCGGAGGGCACGGACGACGCCGGGATAGGCAAATAGTCGAGGGCCACGCGTCGTAGGCGCGGGTACTTGCCGCCGTACAGCTTCCACCACTCGACGACGTCCAAGCTCAGGTCCTGAGTCGGCTCAAGCAGGAAGCGGTCGACCTCGGAGGCGGCGCCGTCGTGAGCGTTGGGCGCGTAGACCATGTCAAAGAGGATGTTAATGCCGCCACGCGGCGCCGCCTTCGGCGCCGCGTCCGTCGTCAACGCTGGGTAGCGCTGGTTGAGAATGTCCGTCATCATGTCCTTGATATTGCTGTACTCGGTGCTCGAGGCCGCGGGCTTGGGGTGGCGCAGGTCGAGAAAGCGGGCGACGCGGCTTGGTTCGGACGAGAGAAGGTCGCTGTACTTGACCATGTAGTCGGAGATGGTCACGGCGGCCGAGCTCACGACCACATGAGGACTTGGGCGGTGGGTCATGCAGTGGCTCAAGAGAGCCTCCTGCGCCGTGATGGCGTTCGAGATGGTGCACTACTCCTCGGCGCCCATGGCATCGGAGATGGCCGCCGGCTTCTCCAAGAACTGGCAAGAGCAGCGCCGCCTGCTCCCACTGCTCGTCCGACAAGCCGGCCTGGCTCCGCGACCAGCCGGGCTCAAGGCAGATGGCGTCGATCACTTGGCGCTGCCTTAGCGACGCCGTGAGCATCACGTACGTGCTACCCCAACGTGTGACCACGTCGAGGCAAGGCGGCTGCAGCGGGCACTTGAGGTAGTGCCGCGCGAGCGACGTGTAGGCCGCCCTCTTCGTCTTGCTCTTGCGGATAGCGCCGAGCGTCGCGCGGAGGCTGCGCAGCAGTGTCTCGAACGCGCCGAATGAGGCCTTGACGCCGAGGTTGACGCAGTGCGCGATGCACCGCAAGCAGCACGTCGAGCGCAGGTTGCTCCCCTCGAGGAGCGTGAGGGACTTGGCGGATGCGACGGCGTCAGAACCGCTGTCGGTGACGACGGCGAGCAGGCGCGGCCACACGCCAAAGTCGTCGAGCAGCTCGTGCAGGCGCTGCGCCATGCGCTTGCCCACGCCTTCGCCCGGGGCCACCCAAAAGAAGTCAATGATGCAGTTGCACATGGAGAACGACGCCGGGTCCATCCAGTGGAGGGTGACCGAGAAGAAGCCGGTCATGGCGTCGTTTGTCCAACCGTCGTAGGTCAAGGAGACGCAAGAGCCAAAAGTAGTAAAGTACTGTAGCACGAGTAGCTTGAGGACGACATACATCTCGAGCATGCGGCGCTTGACCGTGCGCTCAGACTTGGGCTCGTAACCTGGGGCAGCTCGTTGAAGAAGAGTCGTAAAGGGATCCGATGTTACGTGTTTATGGCCTAGACCACTCGTCGCGATGTACTCGGCGACAAAGCTGTCCATGGCCTTGCTCGCGTGCGCTGACATGGGCGTGGCCATCTTGGACTGCCCGAGCAAACCCTTCCCCGTCGGCGGCGACGTGACGACCGTGGGCGACTCGGGGTCGACGATCCCATGGGTCTTGAGATGCTTGATACGGGTGCCCGAGGAGGTGGAGCCCGCGTACTGGAGGGTGCAGATCTTGCAGGTCCGGCTCTGCACGTCGCCCGCGGCCTGGCTCGTCTCAAAGTACTCGTCGTGCCACAGCGCTCGGGACACACGGGCCTTCTTGGGCTTGGGCTGCGTCGCGGTCTGCAGCGCTGCGGCGCCGAGGGTGCGCATGAGGCTCTGCCGCGTGTCGCCGCGCGTGGCGTCCGGGCTCTCACGTTCGCTCGCCATCGGCTCCTTGTCGCTACCGGCGTGTTTGGTCTCTTCCACGTCGTGGATGAGATACCTTGTGATGCTGGAGCCGCCGGGGATGGCGCCGTCTTGAGCCGCTCGAGCCATGGAGATGCAATTGCAAAGTGAATTCGCAGGCAAAGGCAACTACAGCATGTCCTTTCGTGTCGCCTTTACAACCAACCAAACTAGTTTGAGCCGGTTCCACCCTGTCCGAGCCAAACCGAGTCGGTTTTCGTAGCCCCAAACCAAACCGAACCAGTTCAAACAGAGCCAAACCAAACCGATTTGGTTCGGTTCAAACCGCGGTTTGGTGGTTTGAGCCAAACCGTGCCGACCCCTAGATGCGTGGGCTCTGAATCAAGGAGCTTGTCCCCAACCGTTGTCCGTTGGTGGTTCATTCCTCCTCACTGTTTTCCCATAACCGTGCTCGTTTCGGAAGTGTTGCAGCTGTTGCAAACCGCTGTGCTTGTTGCACGAGTAAGTATGCTGCTTTGCAGAGGCGTAGCTAAGGGGGGGCAGGGGAGTACATGTGTCCCGGGCGCCAAGGTAAAGGGGCGCCAAAATGAGGCTTACAACGTTACATTATAATCTTCTTGGTTCTTTCTGTAAAGTCACGTAGAATGGAAATAATAAAACAATAAAAATAAAACTTAATAAAATTTTAATTGAGAATTATTTTATTATGTTTTATTTATTCCCTGCAGTCACGAAAGCTTTAAATCAAAAGTTACATTATAACTTATTGCGGTGGGCGCGGCAGCCTGAAACTACTGCACAAATCTACACCTCAACCTAAACGTTTATATATCCCGCCACACACAGCCTACATGTCATGTAATTACATTTTGGTATGTGATTAAACGGGGGGGGGGGCGGGGGGCGCCAATTTTATAGTTCGTCCCCGGGCTCAAAATATCCTCGCTACGCCTTTGCTGCTTTGCAAGAGCTGTTGCAGTTGTGGGCATCGCTGTTGAATTTGTTGCGATAACGTGCATCGCGTTACAGGTGTGGTGAGCGCACTCACTTATTTGTATTGAGTTGTTCAAGTTATCAACGTGTGACTGTGCACGTTTGTGTTGGGTGGTGCGCGTGTGTTCGTGATAGCGCTTGTCTCTGCATGTTGGTGACACGGTGTATCTGCCTGTGTATAATGTCTGGTTTATTAGTGACACAGTGTGTCTGTCTGTGTGTGTTGTCCGGTTTGTTAGTGACACAGTGTGTCTGTCTGTGTGTTGTCTGGTTTATCTGACTACATGGTACTCGGTACCCTGTGCTCTTAGTTTTGGATACCTTTAAAAACAAATTAAATACAATTTAACAAATAAAATATAAATATATCTACTTACAATGGAGATGCGTTACGACGACCCCATCGTAAGTCAAAAATATCCTAAGTCGAAGATGGTATAGCCTACCCAGAAGTCTTAAAGAATGGTGATAATTTAGCAAAACAGAGCAATTTACAGTCCTGTACTGTATAAACTATATACTGTATGTATTTATTAATTACAATACTGTATATTGCACAGTACAATGTAAAGTAAAAAAAAGTATATTCTTAGCCTACCTATATGAACTGCAATTTAATAGAAAGTTTTTTCAGGAAACAATCCTATCTGCTATAAAAACTTTTAACATGCATTGAACGTATCGTCCCAACGTACAGTATCGTACCTCGTACGCTGCTTCGTTTGCCTGCCGCGCGAAATTTAAAATATTTTACAATTTTGTCGCATCACTACCGCCATCGTAAGATCGAAATATCGTAAGTCGGACCATCGTAACTCGGCGACTACCTGTACATTGCAATCTCCCCTTTGGATCCTCAAGTTGAATGACCACACAACGCTGAATCTTTCTGTCCATAACTTAGTTCTCACGTTAAGAGTGTTTCACCTGCAATTTTTTGGGTTTATGATTGAAATCTTTAGTTTTTTGGCACACCCAAAACTCTGGTGTAACTGAGTCTGGCTTCCAGAGGTTTTATTATTTGAAGACAGAAGGATGCAATGTTCTGCACAGAATGAGAGAGACCCAAAATGCAAGCGGACATCACTGTAAAGAATGTATGATTATTATTAGTCGAATGTAAAATAAAATATTTACCCAGGTCCATCAGCCATGTCTGCATCTGAGGGTAGCTTTCATGCACATCAAGGAGTGCTTCCAGCAGCCTCTGGCATTGGCTGTTACCAGCAGCAATACATTTCAACAGCAAGTAGTTTGCACATTCTGGTCCATGCTCTTTCTTGGCTTCATTGTAGACCTCCCGTGTGATCAGAGAATGCGTATCCATGTACTCCAGAATAGGGAATGGATCCATTCCGATCCATGCTGTCAGCCTGTCCTTATTGGCCTGGATGAGATTCCGTGTCTTTAGCTGTCCTGGTCTCTAAAAGTGAGATAAAGAAGCATTCTCTCAATAGGACTGAACACGATGCTCACATTTTGGTCTATCAGCACGTTTCATATAGGAAACACATCCAAACAATGTAAACAGCATTCATTTGTTCCTGAGTTTGAATCACAAGCTAGTCCACATTAAATTTTCATTTTATATTTAACAAACATTTTCTTAGGTTAAAGGCAGGTATTTATGCCGACCGATATTGCTTTTACTTGGGTTATATAATAAAGTGACAGGCGCCCCATACCCAGTTTGGAAATGACGAACGCCACTCTCCACACACCACAGGTGGTGGTGTGGATTTTCCATTCACCATTGGATACTCAGCCAGGTCAGAAATAAAGAGACGAGGAAGAAGGAAAGAAGGATAACCGTGTGACACGAGCTAAACTTTGACTCAGCTGACGTGTCACACGAGGCGAGAAGAAAGGAGATGAATATGGAGGCACCAGGTCAGAGGACGACAGGCTGGCCTAGAGAGAGGTCATTTGAAGTGGTAAACTTTGACATGAATCCCTGCAGAGTGGATGTGGAGATCGTGGGCCAGGACTGGAACGAGCGGAGAGAGAGAGGAGGAAGTGGAACACTACATGGGTGGGAGTAATGGCAGAGAGAGAGCAAGATGAGACACTCCCCCACTTCTTACAAGTGGCCGTGTGGATTGTAGAAAAGAGAACGGTCACTCACACCCCCGCCCCCCCCCCATCAGCACAACTCAGAGGACCAAAAACTCTGCCAGTCGTGTCTGGGCACCCGCCACGCCGGTGTCACCGTCCTCACCGAGCCCTTGACGCCGTGCCCTGGCACACTCCGGCACTGGGCCTGCCAAGGCATTCACAGCGGAACTGCACTGCCGGTGGCAGATCAGGGCCAGACGATGACATCACGCAACAACCTCTGATCTCTCTTATCCAACCACCAGGAGACATTGACTTTCAATTGTTTGACATCACCAAACCGAGTCTGATCTCTGATGACTACTCATGGATACAATTCAAGATCACAAAAGTATTAGAACAATGCTCAGACATATCTATTACGAGTCCCTGGGCCACCTCACTTACTTGAACTTTTTTCTTAATCAATTTCCATTTTTCTTCAGCCTCTTTCGTCCAGTGTTCTGTAAATAAAGTACCATGATGAGATCATTAATACTCTAATCAAATCTATAGGCAGCTATTCCTGATTTATTGAAAAAAATCACACTTGCAACCTGCACGTCCTTTAAAGGCGATCGTCTGTCTGTCCCTCCTAGCCAGCCAGCCAGCAAAACTTTTATTGAATACAGAGAGCCCTGTCGCTCTTCACCTTTCTCTCATCTTCTCTGTTCCGTATATCCCAATTAATCTCAATTTCTCGCCTTGTCTGTTTTTATGTTTCTCTGTCCCCTCTTCTACCGCTCCCTCCCTCTGTAGTGCTCTCCTCCCTCCACTCTCTCCCACTTCCCTCCCCACGATTCCTCTTCTTGTTTCTCTCTCACCTCTCACCCTCGCTCTCCTTATTCCCAACTCTCAATTCCCCGTTTTAGTCTCTCTTGCCTCTCCCTAATCCTCTTTCCCACCGCTTGTCGCGTTCTCTCGCTCTCCTCTTTCCGTTGTGCTTCATCTCTTTCCTCTCCGTGTCATGGCCTTTCACTCTCTCCCCAGCCCTCTCCTCTCCATCTCTCCATCTCTTCATCCGTGCTCCAGCTCCCGCCCTCACCTCCCTCCTCCATCTCCCTTCCTCGCCACCCTTCTCTCACTCTCTCCTCTATCTTCCTCTGTTAATGCCCTCCTCTCTCTCCCTCACATCTCTCTATCTGCTCTATAAAACAAGTGTTCAGATGTGCTGCTCACCCTGAGCCATAAATGCCCTGATAGTGCATTGTCCTTGTGCTGTTCACCTTTTGGCGTTCTCTGATCTGACACTGATGAGACTAGGCCCAAAAGAAGGCTGTCTCTGAGGTAGGTCAATCAGTTTTAAAGACAATGCAAATATATACAAAACAAACAAGATCATGACTAGTTCGACTTCCCTAATCAAACCAATCAAACGGCCCTCCCTAAAACCGTCGGCTGCAAGACCTCCCAGATTCTATGGTCTTCCCAAGATCCATAAAGAAGGTACCCCACTACGGCCCATCGTGTCCATGATCAACTCACCTACCTACAAGCTAGCCCATTTTTTATCGGATACTCTGCTTCCCTTCAATTGCAAGACCACCTCAGCAGTACTTAACTAAACCCACTATGTCTCTATGGTCAAGGACATTGTACTGTCTCCTGACAATGTCCTCATCAGCTTTGATGTGGTTTCTCTGTTCACCAAGGTTCCAGTGCCTGACACCATAACAATAATTGAAGACTTAGTCCAACATGGACTGAACCCGAATGTCCCTGAGCTGGTTCGGCACTGCCTCACCAACACGTACTTCACCTGGAATGGTACCTTCTACAAACAAAATTAGGGTACCCCTATGGGTTCCCCCTTGTCACCAGTGATAGTCAATGTTTTCATGGAGAAATTTGAAACAGATGCCATCCAGACATCCACCCTGCATCTTTCCCTGTGGAAGAGATATGTGGATGACACTTTCGTCATTTGGCCACATGACCTCCCAGCATTGAACCAATTCCTAGACCACATCAATTCCAGACACCCATCCATCAAATTTACCATGGAAGTGGAGAAGGATGGCAAGCTACCATTCTTGGATGTTCTGTTTGAGAGGAGGCCCAATAGCTCTTTGGGACATTCTGTTTACAGGAAGGCCACCCACACAGATTCCTACTTGAAGCCTGATTCCCACCACCACCCGGCTCAAAAGAATTCCCTCATCAAAACACTATACCATAGGGCCCACTGCATCTCTGACCAACACCACCTGGCCAGTGAATTAAAACATGTACATCTGGCACTCAAGATGAACGGATACTTGGACCGTGCTATCCGCCAAGCTGTTTCTCCCACCATGTAGAAACAACCCCCTGAGACTCCGATCAAATCATCACGTTGCCATACATAGCAGGCATTTCGATTTAAAGCTTTCGTGACTGCAGGGATTCATCTTCTTGTTTCTTTCGGTAAAGTCACGTAGAAGGGAAGTAATAAAATAATAAAAATGAAACATAATAAAACAATTCTCACGAAGAGAATTGTTTTATTATGTTTCATTTTTATTATTTTATTACTTCCCTTCTACGTGACTTTACCGAAAGAAACAAGAAGATAGCAGGCATTACCAAAACGATTTCCACAATTCTAAAGAAACACAAGATCCAGGTCCGATTCAATACAGTACACAAAATCCGTGATCTGATCCCATCCGTAAAGGATGTCATTCCTGACTTACAGTACCCCGGTGTTTACAAACTGAGTTGTACCTGCGGTGACTGCTATATCGGGGAGACGAAACGACATATTTTTGACCGAATTCGCGAGCACAAGTCAGATTTGAAACACGGCAGAACGAATTCTTCGGCCGTAGCTGATCATTAATTCAACACAGCGGGTTCTCATGATATTGTTTTCTCCGATACCAAAGTACTCTGCAAACCTCCCGGATACTACCAAAGATTTGTCCATGAAGCCATCCAGATATACAAACATAGACACAACTTCAACCGAGAGGATGGTTTTAAATTAAGCAATCATTGGAAAGATGTCATCAACCAAGTCTAACTTTAGCTGCCTTATAATTTTACAGCCATATCCATTTCTTCCAGTTTTTTACTTCCAGCCTGATACACAACCATCACTCGTCGTGCAGGCACTGGACCCATGCACAAACTCCCCTCCCCTGACATCACAAAAGAAAACAGATGGTTATCTATCGGCTTAACTCATGCTAATCCCATGCCCGACCGTCCACACGCCTGCCACATACCCACCCCTTGACTCCCCCCCCCTAACACCCTATATAAACACGTTGTCTCTTAATAACTCTCTTCATACACCTCAGTAATTTTGCTTGAGCAGTCTAAACCTGATGACGGTTGCTTGTGTTGCTTCCGAAACGTCGTGATTTAATTTATTTTATATTTTTTTACCTACGTGACTTTACCGAAAAAAACAAAGAGTATGGATCCTTGCAGTCACGAAAACTTCAAATCTAGAATGCAAATATTATCAGAGCATGTTTGTTTACATGTTCCCCACAAGTACGTGTGGTTAATGCAGTTCTTGATTCCTTGCAAAAAGGTTTCTATTTGGTGTTTGAATATCTTAACACCTCCTGGTTTATTGCCAGAAAGGGTAAAACCTATTCATATATTTTTTAAAAAAGGTCTCCAAAATATGAAATAAATAAATAAAAACCTAAAACATTGAGCCATCTAGCAGATGTGCTACACTTTGGGCTAACGTGGTCGTGCGGCCGATTCCTCCGTCAATCCGCGACAGAACCTCCGCGGTGCGCCGTAGGCGAGGGGATTCGTGGGGAGGTCTCCCCATCTCGACGCGGATTATTGGAGTCTCTGCTGTACCACGAGTTGATCGCGAGGCCAAAATATTTAAAATTGGAACAAAGTCGCATTTTCTCAGACGCTTTGGAATAACTGAGACTGGGACCAGGGCAGATAAAGCAGGACATTGGTAGCTTTACATCCGCACGAGACATGCTTGTGAGTTTTTCTAGTTTAGTACCTGTAAAGTAAGCTTCAATATACATTATATAAAACAATAAATCAGTATCCAGACATCTTATTTTATTCGCGTCATCTTATACACTCACCGGGAAATAATTTCCGCTTGAAAGCGATGAGCGCCAGAATGGTGAACACCAGAATGATCACGATAATCCCAAAAAGGATAGCAAGCCAATTAACTGGGAATATGAAAAACATAAATAATCAGTACAAAGTCATTTCATGAAACGCATCTCATGCGCAGATACAATTCAAACGCACCTGACATTACTATTTTTGTCCTTCCCCCACACCTCCAATTAGCATGGTTAGCTACGTACGGTGTAAAAGAAGTTCTAAATACATGATCCAGGTGCACAAAAGCAATAAACCCTCTATGAAGATTCATCATCTTTAAAACATTGTTGAAAACACAACACTTAATTTTTAAACATCGCTCAAAAGAGCTTCCCTTGTAAACTGAAAAGACTTTTACATTTCCAACATTTAACTTTCACACTGTGGCAGAGTAAAGCCTCCCCCAGCCAGATTCAAATAAGCCAACATTTGGAGACAGTCAATCAAAATCTCCAACCAGAACAATGTTTGTGCACGAATTAAGCTGTGTGTGGTCGGTTATGGGTCAAAGCACTCTGCTATTTGTGTTTGGAAAATGCAATCAACGCTTGTTAACATGAGGTTTTACTTATGATGCTATCCCGTACAATGTGAGTACATGCTAGAGGGTACGATTGATGTGCGTTTGTGTGCTCTAGGACATCTGAAGTGATGTCCTTGTCTGTTGTATGGAATGTGGTGAACTCATTGACTACGATGTCACGTGCTCCGCTAGATGCACTCCGTCTGTCATTGCATCGCATTTATTTAACATTTATTTAGCAAATAAAACCCACCAGAAAGAACTCTTCCGTCTTTGGCATCTAGTGAACCTCAGACTTTCACCTCTGCATCATGGCGACTGAAAATGACTTAGGCTTACTGTACTCTAGTGATGTTTAAGTGCTACTGAAGTGTAAATGTCTAGGCAATAGCTACTAAGTGTGAATTAAACGTTAGTGGGTGTTGATGACATACAAATGTCACTTAAATGTAGCAATTTAACAAGTACAGCAATGCCTCTGTTACCCAGAGGGATGTTTGGGTAACCTGAGGGAGTGTGTCCAATTCTTTCTTAATCTAAGACCCAGTGGAAACAATTCACCACTGTGGGTGACAGTGACGGACAATGCTATTCAAATATTTATAATTGGCGTGAACAACTCGTAAACTTACCTCCAATCGGGACACAAGTATCTGAGGTGGGGTCTCTCTTGAGTCCATCTTTGCAATCACATTTGGTGTCCTGGGCCACAGAGCAGTTCACAACAGCTTCCTCATCTGCATGTCGAATCAGAGAGATTGGCATTTGTGTGAATGAAAATGATGAATTTGATGACAAAATTAACTCGCTGACAGGTCAAAATCTTGGCGGTCAGTGTGTTTGCACAAACATGTTTTAAACTAAACTATTTAACTATTTGTATTTAACCAGGTCAGGCCCACTGAGCTACATAGCTCTTTTTCAGAAGCAAGCTGCCAACAAATGAGAGCTCAATGAAGTGGCTTATCACGTGGAAATTTATAGCAGCCAAATACTCTAGACGCATGTTTCTAAAGGAAAGAAAAACCAGAGGACCCAGGGAAAAATCCACACAACCACGGGGAGAACATGCCAACTCCAAATAAACAGGCGTCAGGGTCGGGATTGAAACCCACGACGTCCAGCATACCAGGCGAGGGAGTTCACACCCTGCCACCATGTGGATCGTGGTGGAGTTATTTGACATTACTTCACCATGCTGGTCAGTACGAGTAGGTGAAAGCAGGGAACGCAGACATTGGAGCAGAGTACTGGGCAACAATTGATTTAGCTGTACTGGTCTCTGTTGAGAACATAGCTCAGCAGTAGGCTACAAATTGTTTTATGCATGATGGTCACTCATCCAAGTACCGTCTAGGCTCAAACCTGTTCATTCTTCACGACTGGCTGCATTTAGGTGATGTGGGCATAGGCATCTTAATTACATAGCGACACAAAGCAAAATTCTGGCCATAGCCAACATTATAATTAACATTCATTACCTTACCTTCTCTGCAGCGGCTGCAATTTTCACAACGCGGGGCATTATTGTCTTGGTCCATGTACTGGTCATGAGGGCAAACTTCACACATGGCATTCTGGCCCTCCGATGCACAGTCCATTGTCTTGTGTGACCCTGAGAGGTACAGGGGAACAAAGCAGCAATGCACCCCTGTGAAGAGCAATTTCTCTCAGTGCTTTCATTGTGAGATATGTGATGAAGTTTTTGTTCTTTATTAATTAAGTGATGTTTTTTAGGGTTCAGGTGTTCAGTTTTCAGTCTGCAGACATTGTAGTTGTGAATATTGGTGACCATATTGCACTGATGAATAAAAAAAAAAACCGCTGCAGTGGTCTATCGCTGCATCACTGCTGCCAGCCAGTTTGTCACATTTTCCAATCGCACCTCCGATTAGCACGGTTGGCGACGTACGGTGCAAAAGAAGTTCAACATACAATTTTCCCTTTAACCTATATTCCTAATTAATTCATTTTAAGCCATGCATGCCCAGATTCCTTATTTTTGTATGGTAATATTTTGGGGTTTGGCCATGGGGTTAGGGTTGGGATTAGAAATTAGAGTTTAGGACTCAGGGTTAAGGTTTGAGACAAGGTCACGTGAGAATGCTTTCCTTGACCTTGATCTTCAGTGGTAGTAGTGCCAGTCCTGTGTGTTGGGTGACTCAGTGTGTGTGTTTTCATACATACCTGCTCGACACAACAGGCAGCAGTGACCAATCTCCGATCTGTAGGATCCTTTGGCACATTCTGAATTCACAGCTGGGCCTTCGATTGCGGTGGCAAGAACAGCCTATTGATAAAATACAAAGACATTAATATAGTTGTATTTATTGGACCAAGGCACTGCTTTTTCATACCAAATTCTCTACATTATAAGACGCTCCACAGAGTAAGACGCATCCCGAACTTGTACCCGGTGTGAATCAATTCAAATAAATCTGGTCATATACGCATACACACATTTACTTAAAATACAGAAATAAGGTTTGGCTTATAATGTACATGACGGTATCATTGACTGGACAAGTGTATTGCTTGAATCCAGGTTTTAGGATTGGCATTTCAACAAAAAATGGTGAACCTTACTCACAGAACATTCTTGAAAAGAAGTAATGGGACTTGGGCATATGAGCATTAATGTCATGTCTAGCATCACACCACCAACTCTATGACCACTACCATCTAAGATTAATATACACAGTGTAATCACAAGCACCAACAGCACCAGTAGCATAATTGTGATTATCATCATCACCAGCATCATCAACAGTAGAGCTGGGAAACCGTGGCACGGCTTGCACAGTGGAGCCATGGGCTCCGTTCCCCACGTTAACGATCTTCACGGTCCCAGTGACTCTGCCAGCCCCAGGCTCCGCACGGTGCTCCAGGCTCACACGAGATATGAGCTGGGACCGTGAGCCTCGTTACATACACAGACACACACCAGTGGCTCGGTTTGTGCTGGCTTAAAGGTTCGCGCTGACAAGTAAATTTAGCGATAATAGACAAATTATTTACGTTATTTATTGTCTTGTCTATGAAAATCGTGATGAGCTAAGTCGGCACACTACCTGTGCAGCTCGGCTGATGGAAATAGAACTGGCTCATGGTAAATTGGCTTCATCGTGGATGCTCTTCAAGAAGACGGTGATGCCCTCTACCTGCTCAAACTATGACACGTTTGTTGGTTAGCTGCGTTAGGGGAATATTAGAGGGTATTTAAAAGGGTAGAAAGTGAAATGTTTACTGGCATCTCCAGTGGCTTTTTACTTTTGTGGCCAGCCTCCCTCATTTAGATCACCGGCTGGGACCGCAACTCATTTCATTGGGACCGCTGGCAGGGAGCCCAGGCGTTTAAATAAAAAAAACCTTAACTTTGTCTCTACTTGTGTGAAACGCGAGCTCTAAATATCCCTTCAAGCGGAGTGAGTTCACTCGCCTCCATCTTAAGAAGCCCCAATAGCCACCATTTTGTTTCAAGAATGTGCATTTAAGCTGCCCAACAAACGAGGGATCTTCCTTGTAGCCCAACAGACGTGCTGCTACTGCACAAACCATCGACGCTGGGTAAAAATTACGGCTGACAGATAGCCAGGAACTGCTATTCAATCACCTTGATCATTTTCCACGAGAGGTAAACATAATTTGGGATTATAGATCTCGTAAATATAAATGTGTCGTTAAACCCGCCACAACTGACAGCCAACTAGTAAGGTTTGTCACGAAAACTAAACATGCCAATGACTTGCTAGTTCAGCACACCGGTGTGTAGGAGAGTATATTTACGTGATCACACCCAAAAAAACTCTTATAGAAAATGTTGGTCGTCAAAGCCGACATATTAAACATAGTTTGGACTATTGTTGTTACAATGTATTAACCACTTTGTTATCTGTACTGGATAACGTCAGGCTTTTGTTATTTGTAATGGTTTCTTCTGATAAAATAAAGATGCTCAAGAGGCAACATATCAAAAGAGGCTGTGCATATCAATATTTTTCACCTGATTAGATAACATCCATTCATAAAACAAAAACAACATGATTCTTATCTGGCCCTGTGAGCCGAGTGCATTCACACTGAACCCTGCAAGGAAGGCTCATGAGCCTGAGGCAATGAAGTTAAACTGATTATTATTAAACATTCTGAAAGTGGGGTGTGGTGGAGGAGAGGTGAGCCGACCATAACTAGCATGGCATGAAAGGGCATCATTCACTTAACAGTGCAAAGACCAGAGAGAAGCCATTGTGTGTCGAGGTCAGGGTCCAACTTTAATTCTTTTCTGAAAATTAATCAATTGGGATTCACGCAGAAGAAATGTAACATCTACTAATAGGGGTTTTCCCCTTTTATCTGGCAACAAAACTGACACCTTTTGCAAGGATTTATGCTTACATTAACCACAATACTTGCAGTCAAATGCAAACAAAAAACAATATACTCTGATAATTATCAGAGTATATTGTTTTTTGTTTGCAGTATTGTGGTTAATGTAAGCATGATTCCTTGCAAAAGGTGTCAGTTTTGTTGCCAGAAAAAAGGGGAAAACCCCTATTAGTATATTTCGGTCAATAGATAGGGCAGCAGCAGCAGCACTGCCCTCCTACCACGCAGCCTATACCACCTGGTACGAGGTCGCCCCATCCTACGCATGCTCAACCTCGCGTAGCTTCTCATATCTCATTCATTCGGGCACAAACCCGATCTCCTACCAGAACCTCTTTTTAAAATGACTTGTAAATTACCGTGCCCACACATCCCGTGAGCACGATGGGCTACGTACGGTGCGAAAGAAGTTCAACGCACAGTATTCATAATACATGTTGCATGGGTTAGATCGCGTAAATACACACTCTGGTCGCGAAAGCCTCCGTGTGATGAAGTTAAGCACACACACGGACTCTACAACGCAGTGATATACACACAGTACTTCACTCTGCTTCACATCGCCACAGATTCAACGTCGCCAAGAGAGACCCACACGGGCTCCCGGTATCTGAACGCAACGGGATTTGGCCTGGCCACATCTCCACCCTCACCACCCTCCTCACACCACCACGAAGACGACGACAAGGTCTCACCAGGGCCAGCAGGAGACACGCGAGCCGACAGCAGCTGTACAAGTCGCCTTTCCTCCTCATCCTCATGGTGACAATCCGCGCCGTCTCTCCTCCGCTTGACTCGTGGACACTCAACACAAGGAGGTAAAGTCACGTAGAAGGGAAGTCCTCAGGTGAGGACGGCTGCTTGCGTTGTGGCCGAAACGTCGTGATAATTATTTTATTATGTTTTATTTTTATTATTTTATTACTTCCCTTCTACGTGACTTTACCGAAAGAAACAAGAAGATGAATCCCTGCAGTTACGAAAGCTTTAAATCGAAACTCAACACAAGCTCACGGCCCGTCGCTGCTGCTGCTGCTGCACCAAAGAACAGAAAACGACCGAAGTTCCAGAACAGTGGCTCAAGTTTCAAGTTCCTCTTTGGTGATTGCAACATCATCGCCTGAGAGTTGCGTCCCGGTTTGACGGTAGGCGACTGCGCCCCCTGCAGGTGAAGCAGCGCTTTGTCAGTCTCCCTTAGAGGTCACCTACTGAGCAGGGAGTCAACAATCTTCACATCAAGATTGAGGCGACAATCTTCACATCAAGATGGAGGCGACAATCTTCACATCAAGATTGAGGCGACAATCTTGATGTGAAGATTGAGTCAACAATCTTCACATCAAGATTGAGGGAACAATCTTCACATCAAGATTAAGGCGACGATCTTCACATCAAGATTGAGGCGACAATCTTCACATCAAGATTGAGTCAACAATCTTCACATCAAGATTGAGGCGACAATCTTGATGTGAAGATTGAGTCAACAATCTTCACATCAAGATTGAGGGAACAATCTTCACATCAAGATTAAGGCGACGATCTTCACATCAAGATTGAGGCGACAATCTTCACATCAAGATTGAGGCGACAATCTTCACATCAAGATTGAGGCGACAATCTTCACATCAAGATTGAGGCGACAATCTTCACATCAAGATTGAGGCAACAATCTTCACATCAAGATTGAGGCGACAATCTTCACATCAAGATTGAGGCGACAGTCTTCACATCAAGATTGAGGCGACAATCTTCACATCAAGATTGAGGCAACAATCTTCACATCAAGATTGAGGCGACAATCTTCACATCAAGATTGAGGCGACAATCTTCACATCAAGATTGAGTCAACAATCTTCACATCAAGATTGAGGCGACAATCTTCACATCAAGATTGAGTCAACAATCTTCACATCAAGATTGAGGCGACAATCTTCACATCAAGATTGAGGCGACAATCTTCACATCAAGATTGAGGCGACAATCTTCACATCAAGATGGAGGCGACAATCTTCACATCAAGATTGAGGCGACAATCTTCACATCAAGATGGAGGCGACAATCTTCACATCAATATTGAGGCGACAATCTTCACATCAAGATTGAGGCAACAATCTTCACATCAAGATTGAGTCGACAATCTTCACATCAAGATTGAGGCGACAATTTGTCAAGGCGTGACCCCTACCCCCTATAGAACGGCCGATATTTAATCCACGCAGAAACGACCAAGGATTATTAATATACACGTGTTTAAACAAACAGGTAGTCCGGACTATCTCACTAATCTGAAGGTCAATGTCGACAGATTATTGTCGAGGCTTTACCCCCCTCCCTCACCCTCCATGCGTACGGACTCTGTGGGTGGCCCCTTACGCTACAGTGCTTCACTTTGTATTTACTGCGGTGTGGATTTGTATTAATGAACGTACCTTTAACTTTGCCATGTGTCCCCTCAGGTGAAAAAGGGGCAAAGATGCGTAGTCTACATTGGATAAGGGAAATACAAGTGTAAATGTATGTACTGTGTTGAACTTCGTTCGCACCGTACGTAGCCGACCGTGCGAATCGGAGGTGCGGGACCCGTTAAATAAAAGCAATAAATTAAAATATCACTTCCCACCATGCTCCTTCGGTATTTTATAAATAATTGGTTTGATGTTTCCGCAATTACTGGTAATAACCGAAACCAGGTGGTTAGGTGGATAATGAATTCATTAGGATCGTTATGTAGACCGCAGGAAGAATCCGATGAACTATAAAGCTCTTTTCACCACAGATGTCCAGTAAGGGCATGGGGTCAGCGAGTTACAACAACAATACAAAAAAAAACACGATAGGAGAGTCAAGGTAAGCAAGTCACTCAGCATAAATAATGCTGGTATCATCATCATCAATACTATAAGGGGGCAAGTGTGAGTGTGTTACTCCAAAAATTGTTTTAAAGAAAATTTTTATAGCGCGTAACATTTGTGCAACATTACGCTTCAATGGAGCACTGGACGCCATATGGACCCGAAAAGATTTTTTTCCCCGCACAAGAATACGAAGTAAACCATGTGGCTTGACAGGTATGAATGTTTTCGTAAGAATAATGCACTTAGTAATTCATTTTCTGGCTAAATCTTCATCTAAATAGAATTAGAGACGCTTTCAATGGATATTAGAATCAAAGTATCCACGAAAGTTGCAAATGTTTACAATCCTGAACTTTGCAAGCAGGTGGAGGAAGCAAGTTTAATTTGTTTTTGCCATTGCCGCGTTGGAACTTTCGGAAGGCCAACTTGGCCCAATTTCGTTACGTTTCTGACATCTGCTGCAAAAAAAATCAACATCTCCAACCCACACTGACCGGCCAGCCCCTAACAACTATCACAGCGTGGGGTGCTCATCAACCAGCAGTGGATTGATGAAGGCAACTGAATTATTACATTTGAATGCATTGCGATCGTAGGATTTGATTTTAAAAGAGACATAGGCATCAAGTATCCAATTCCTCAATGCATTTAATTCTGCCAGTAAGTCTATGCAACAGCCTACCATGCAGGAGCAAAGAACAGCATAAATGTGCAATCCTTCCATTAACATTTTTTTGCTATATTGAAAATCATCATCACTTTTCTTTAACCTTTTCCCCATGTTTAAGCATACAACGATGTATACTGTAATGTATATACAGAAATAGGGTATGTAACAATGTGCTGCTGTAATCATCAATACTCCGGCTGTATCTGCAACAGAATGAGTTGCAGAGGGTTCCTAACGGGGCCTATGACGGCTTACCCAGCCTCGGGACCGCCACTCTGTGGTGCAAGGAGCCCGTGGTTATTCCACCGAGTTGAGTCACACACGGAGACTGTTGGTAGTCCTGCAATTTAAACAACTTGAAACCATCGGTCACAATCACTGGATTACATGTAAGGCGTTTATACCATCATCACCCATGATCTATCCGCTGCTAATGAAGGCTGCTCTCCAAGCCATTGCAAGATCTCCCGTTCCTAAAATGCAACGATTTCCGCCAGCTCCTGCGCACACGCCGATTCCATCTCTCCATCTCCCGCAGCATAGTCCTCGCCGATGTGTTCTCTCCTTTGTTTCCAATTGTCATTCTGTAGCGTGTTCTGCACAAGCCCACTGTTCCCATAGACCCTTCTCACGTGAATACTGGATGTTCTGTAATCCACGTGTTCCTCTTCGCATCCCTGCATCTAATTCAAAGCTACTCACCTCTCTCCGTGCTCATTTGCGCACTTTTGAGCTCTAGTTACAATGTCGTTGCTTGTGACATTGTCCTCAATCCATGCATCAAAGCAAAACACTCAACACATTCGTCGATGACACTGTGGCCCTAAACAATAAATCTATATAAAATCGGCGACGTTTTGGGCAAATGCCCTTTCTTCATAGCACACACGCACAGAGGCGAGATGGAGTTGTGGTTTGGAGACTGTACTTCATACCATGGGGCCAGATGAGAGTTACGTTTTAAAAATGTTTTCTGACGACCAGTTTTGAAATGGGCATATGAATTGTTACCATGTCATAGCAGGTAATGTGTGCATTGTGCACGTGACGTTGATGCAGTCATCCAAGCTATCGCCGACCAATGTCCTATAAATAGATACACGGTACCACGGGCTCGTCTCCTGCACAAGTGGAGCAAGAATGAGAGCTCCACCGGCGATTGCAGAGCCCCGACACCGTTGAACGGCATCACCATAGAACATCAGCAGCTCACAACAACCAATACCGTTGAATGGCCGCTAAAGAACCAAGGCATCAATTTGTTACATTTGCTGCCGTTCCCAAAGTCAGCTGCTTGTTTCTGCAATGCGTCGCACGAACGAATGGCACCTTGAGTGAGCACGATTTAACTCGAATTTGTACTGGAAAGGCGGCCCGTTTCGAGACGCGAGAATTGGAGATTTGGAAACACTGGTCTAATGTTTCATTTTATTTTGTCTTCAAAAACCAACAAAATAACCTTCTAAAAGCTATTTAATATGCCTAAGCGTATACCGCACATTAACACAAAGCGTATTTCTAGGTAAGCAGATTATAACACAGTTTCAATGAACGTCAATCAGCTGCAGAGTATCCCCGAAGGAATATTCAAGACGCTCACAAACCTACAAACGCTGTACCTGAGCACCAATCAGCTGCAGAGGGTTCCTCCTGATTGTGCGCGCCTCGATGCACGCACGCAGGCGATGGCTCGGTCATGTTGCACTTTCATCGCCGTGCAGTGCAATGCAGTTCCATATTGCATGCGCATTCGAGTCGCAATAGTGATATTGCACTCACCACTCACCTAACACTCACCACTCACTTTACACTCACCTGGCACCACTGAGTTTAAGCTTACCACTGACCTGTCACTCACCATTCAATTTACACTCACCACTCACCTGACATGTCACCACTTATTTTTATTCAGCAGTAGTATTGTCAATGTCTGTCGACATCAGTCAGTAATTAGAATAATGAACCAAATAATAGAATAATGAACCAAATAATAGAATAATGTCATTGTGTTTGGCCATAGGGCTCTTCCCGCGGGAGTGTTTGATCAGCTCACTGAGCTGGGGACTCTATGGCTGACCAATAACCAGCTCGAGTCTCTCCCAAAACCAGGCTGGCATTACAAGGCCAGCATCTCCACCTTATTAACATTTATACTTTATTAGCATCTCTACTGTATTAGCATTTATACTTTATTAACATTTATACTTTATCAGCATCTCTATTCATACTTTCTTAACATTTACACTTCATTAGCATCTCTACTTAAATAGCGTTTATACTTTATTAGTATCTCTATTCATACTTTCTTAACATTTATACTTTATTAGCATCTCTACTTAATTCACATTTATACTTTATTAGCATGTATACTTCATTAGCATATATACTTTATTAGAATTTACACTTTATTAGCCCTTATACTTTATTAGTATTTATACTTTATTACCATGTACACCACATTAGCATATATACTTTATTAGCATTTACATTTCATTAGCATTTATACTTTACTGGTATTTATACACCCATTAGC